ATATATAAATGATTTAGAGGACAATATTCCTAAAGAAATAGATGCTAATACATGTAAATATGCGGATGATTGCACTCAGAACCAGATTGTCGAAAGAGGTGAATGCAGTTCCATGCAAAAAGTAATCGACGAATTACGGAAATGGGCTGATAATAACCGAATGGCTCTGAATCCGAAAAAAACAAAGGATATGTGGATATGCTTTACGGACTCAATACAAGAACCACCCTCCCTATTTATTGGAGAAGAGGAAATAGAAAGAGTTACTAAATTCATCGTACTTTTTAATCTGAAGATGAATAATAAAAACCTTTAACCTTAACCTTTAACCTTTGTTTTTAAGTATGACTTGCTTTTGTTCTGAAATTTTTGCCACCATTTTAAACACCGTTAATTCAATTTGATTTTTAAACTCATCAAACTTGTCCTCTAAGGATGTTTCAGTGTCTCCGGCTTGACATGGAGTTGCGCCGATAAGAGATTCCGTTAAATAGTCTTTATTTGTTTGAGAGGAAAATTTTTTATGAAAGGAACTATCAATAAAGTCCTGTAACTCCTCAATTGTCGACTGGTCAAAAGCCGATACAGGCAAATTTCGCGTTTCAGATTTAGCAAATTCGCCCCGTGTTTCACAGCTTTCACGTATAGTTTGCTCAGCAGATTCATGCTCATTTTCAATATCGGTGTTAATCTTATCTTGTACTTCAGACAAGTTAGCGCTTGAGGACTCCAAGACGCTTATCAACAAATTCCTAAATGATTCTCCGTCCTTTCCATTAAAAGACATTGTACTTAGCTTGCCTGGGTACCAAGTTATAATCAAATCTAAATCGCTGCTAACAAACTTTTTTGATTTGCCTCCGGGCGATTTCCAAATGCCCACCAATCCGACGGTGTTTTCGACAAAATTTCGCAAAGATGTCAGGTCACCTGTCCACTTTAATCGTTGACCATCAAACATCAAAAGGGCTTCTTCTTTTATTAATTTAATCGCATGTATGTCCGTTATATCTCGTATGATCCGGCTTATTTCGAGCAAGTCCATTTGAACTTCTACCGCCGCCATATTGTTCACGTCTTAATTTAAATCGAGTGTCAGTAGACATGGCTGTACAGGATGAGTGTAAACTCCAATGAGACAATTGCTTAAATTGTCCAGCAAAGTGCGAAGATCATATCTTCATATAATTTCAAAAATACCGCACTGCATATAACATTCTTTCATAAAAAGTCAGGTTGTTGCGCAAAATTTGTTGTACATTATATATATATATATATATATATAAACTCCAATTATATAATTTTTTATATAAATGACAACTTTTTTGAAAATTGACATGTTTCGACATCTCATGATGCCATCTTAAGAAACATAACATCTAATTCTGCTTTCCATAGTTTGGTTTGAAGATTTTCAAACTTGCACAATTCTGATAAGGAAACCTTTCCTTCGTATTTTTGTGCTATGTCGTATATAATGTTTCCATAAATTCGTAAAAGCACTATTGCCAATACACATTTATTATAAACGACAACTTTTTTGAAAATAGACATGTTTCGACATCTCATGATTCCATCTTAAGAAACATAACATCTAATTCTGCTTTCCAATTATGGTTTGAAGCTTTTCAAACTTCCGCAATTCTGATAAGGAAACCTTTCCTTCGTATTTTGTGCTATGTCGTAAATAATGTTTCCATAATTTCGTAAAAGCACTATTGCCAATACACATTTAATATAAACGACAACTTTTTCATGTTTACAAGGTAAAACGACAAGTTCTATCAGTAGCATCAAGCAAATACCACATTTATAATCCGATCCCGAATAGGGAAAGGTAATAAAGCATTAACATTTATTCATTATGTGCTTTAACACATTATGAACACATGAATATGGGGTGATCCCCTCCGTTGATACTCGATTCTATAAAACCAATCTTTACCTTTGCCTAATGCAGACCTGCCAACCCCAAGGAATACAAAACCTTGAGATTAATGCAGAAAAACCTGGAGATCTGGAAAAAAACTGGAGATTTCTATTCTTGTATACGACATATTTTTAGATTGAGTTATTAGGCAAATGGCAATGATTACCTCAAGTGTTATGCACAAAAATTTTAACTCAACAAGACACATGCACTGTGTTTGCAGAAACATTTTTCATGTCACGAAAACACAAACATTGCAAGTACATATATAGCGCAGTGTGTCATAAGGAAAAGTAAAGACTGTTTAAAAAGTTTTTTTCATGTCATGTATAAATACAAATAACATATTTCATGTAAACAATTGATGTTCTATTTTTGTATGTTGTGCGTAAAAAACCCAATAAAAATGAAAAAATATAAGCACATCGCATATCACGAATAAGCTTGATGCGCAACATTTTAATATAAAACCAAAAATGAAATAAACACTGGGAAACTGAAATATTTATTTTCTATTAAAAAGATCCAATGAACATTTTTTAAACGTAAAAAGACATCAATGACGCACGTAAAAGATGTATTTATAAAAAATATGTGCATAATACTGAAAATATTCAAATAAAATGTTTTATCTATTTTTAGCATTTTCCGTCTTTTAGTAGTTTGTCGGATCAACCTCGATTCTTGTCGAATACGTTTTTTTACGTAGATATCTCGCTAGGTATAAGCTAAGCATGGTACAATGCAGAAAAATTGTCTAAAAAACGACAAGAAATAAATTTTTTGACGGAATTCCCGTTGCCAAAAGTAAAAACAAACATTGATCGCCAAGAAAATATGCACCATTTAAGGGGTAGTAGACAAATTTTCAGACGTATATTAGCTTCATCCAATCACAGGACATTCTTAATAGAGTTATTCCAGTATATTTATAATTCAATTGCCCAAACTTGTCCAAAAATTCTTTGAAAATTATTGAAACTTACCGTTTGTTTCAAAACCATTTAGTCCAGTGAAAGAAGGAGCATTTTCAAACAACCGAACAATCTTTTCTGTACTTTCTTTCAGTTTCTTGACAGGTGAACCATCCCCTGTTTGTCCAAAACTTCTCTTTTGTATTGCAAACTTTTCGGCCATTTTGTTGTTCGTGCGCTTTTTAACATTGATCAGTTTTTTTAACACAGGGATAATTAATCAACTTAGGGTTAAATTCGTAAATCTAAGGTTAGCTAACCCTGGGTTAAGACATTTAACCTTACGTTAAAAAGCGCGCGAAGCCAAATAGGGTCAATTTAAAATGCGAGTTCAATGAATACAACCAACCACAGTCGCAAAGCCAGCTTGAAAAGTTGTTTTGATTTTATTGATTACGTAGTTTTTCATCAATTGAAGATAGTCATATTTAAAAGTGATTCCTAGGTGTATTCAATGCAGTTATAGTACTCGCATTGTTGCAGATTTGTCAACAATTCGATTATTTTGTGCATCTTATACGAAACTGTCTGAAGCAAAGAACCTCAAAGCAATTACGACTTGTTGTAGATGAATAGCACAGCCTCGCTGCGTATCTAAATAAAGCTTGCAGAATTAGATTTTTTATACAATTTATTTTTCTACCGAATTTTATTTCTTGCCTTTAGCTCACTGTCGTAAAAACCTTTAGCATTTTGTCTACGTAGGATAATTAACATTGGAAATGAAGAGCAAATTGTATCATGAGTTGTTTTATTTACGAAAATAACAGATTAACCTTGAGTTAAGTACTTTAGCAAACCTGTCGAGGATGGTTAAAGCTAACCCTTGTTTTAACCAAGAGTTTAAGATAATCTAGTTTTTAGCAACGCAAACTAACCCATGGTTAAAAATTAATCCTGGGTTAGGCATATTTAATCCTGGGTTAGCGTTAATCGCCTTTTGAACAACCGGCCCCAGGTTATTACAGTGTAAACTGATCCACGTTAATACTGCCACAAGTGCAACGTGTAAAATGTCTTTTCAACAACTAGAAGGGCAAAACTTGGCTACGCCCAAAGATACGAGAAATAAGGTTTGGCCATTTTGAACACTAAGATAGATTGGTCAAATTAAGTTTAGTTTCTGTTGCAAATTCCTTTGCATCTGAATGACAAATGAAGGCTGGATTGTGACCAATTCACAAATGAAGATTTCCAGTGATAAGTGGAGTTCAGTGGTATTCAATTTGAATGTTTGTGTTCAATTTCTATAAATTTCTTGTTGTAATCGCTTATCAAATGACAAAAAAAAAAGATATTTATACTTTTCTGAGATGAAGTTATTATTTAGAAATGTTTTTAAGACATTTTAGTAGCTAGAACATATACTTTTGAAGACCTTGCCCACTCATTTCATATTTTGCTGTGCCGTCCCTGCATTTAGAATCGAAATGCAAAACACAAAACTAAAAATAACATTTACCTCACGTGTGATCTTCCCGAAATACTCGCGTGTGAAACTTGACGCAGAAATGTATTTCAAAAAAGGGTTTGTTCTCTTACCACAAAAATTAATGCATTACAAAAATTTTCGGTGTAAAACGTTCTTTTCCTAAAATTTCGGATGCAGCGAGGCGTTAAATGATTTTGGAAAATAGAAACGACTTTATACTTATCATCAGATTAATCTTCTAAATGTTGTTCGTCTTCGTCATGGTCATTTTACCCAATGACAGTTAAGATTACTACCAATAATTGAACTCTCTTTGTGTCTGCTTGCTAGTCTTGGTCCGTAAATTTAATTTGTAATATTAAAGTTCTTTCAATTTCATCTTGTGTACGACGCGAAAACAAATTAAATAGCATGCTTAGCTAAACATATTTGAATAAGTTTTTAGTAACGAGTTGAATAAATTGAAAGTATATGACTTGAAAGCTTCGATGATAATGTTCTTGCAGTGTGAACTGAAGGAACTTATTTGCTGCGTTTGTGTCATTGTTAAAACGTTTGTATCTGAAAAATCCCTTGTGGGCAGTAAATGTCGTTTATAGCGACTATTGCAATCGCTAACCCAAGAACACTTTCACACGAAGTATAGTAATCTGAACATTATAGCTAGTTTGCGCAATCGCAACAATATGATTGAAGATAAACTCTTCTTTAATTTTTTCAAAAAAAGTTTGTTTATAAACAGTACACACAGTAAAACATAAACATTTTAAAACGAAGGTTTGAATCCAGGCGTATCGTTACATATTTGTGGATATAGATTGTCCATGTTAGTAGATTCCTGAGGAATGTCATTGTGATGGTGACTGACGTTTCGACAACCTCAGCGATTAAGCGTCGGGGGTCGGTTATGTAAAAACGTAATTAACTTTAACTATAGTTAACGCTAACTACCGTAGTAAACTCCTTGACTGTAGTAACATAACTGCTCGACTTAACTACGTTGCACAAAACGTAGTTAGTCGGATAGTGTCTTATTTGAGCCATACGACTTTAGCTTGATGTTTGTGTGTTCAAGTTTAATTGATGGCATTTCTTGTAACAAGGTTCGATACGTTATTTTGTCTATGATGTTTACGCTCGCACCAGAATCTATCAGCATTCTGACTTCAGTCGCTTCAATTATTACGGTCGTTTTGAGCAATCCACTTTGGCTATCTGAGTTCATTGCGTTGATTACTTGGGAGTGAACAACGCATATTCTTCATCACTACTCGAGTCAAGCTGATTGTACACATCTCATCTGTTTGTAGTTTGATCACTTCATTCACTTGAGGTTGTTTTAAGGTAGTTTTACTACACTTTGCAAAGTGGTTTCGTTTCGCTCTACATGTCTTTCCTTTTGCTGGGCATGGATTATCTTTAGGATGGAGAAATTTTCCTCCGCAGTTAAAGCAAGTTGTAGTTCTTTTGTTCATGCGCCATTCATCCTGCCTTAGGCACCGCCCTTCTTTGCTTTTGTTTGATCTGTTATTCGCTGAATTCCTGTATTGCCAGCTGGATCCTTTTGTTCCCTAGATTTGGACTTTCTTGACTATTCTTTGATCTTGTCCTATTCTCAAAGCATGTGTTTCTGATGTTTCCGGATTCCTGCAAAGATCGAGAAGCTTTTTAAGTGTAAGTTTAGGATTTCGTAACGCCCTTCTGCGAAGCCGTAATGAGTTACTGTTCAGAATTATTTTTGATTTGAATTCTGTGGGGTCGTCGGCAAATCTGCACGTAACTACTCAAAACAGACAAACAACAACCAGTCAAGTCTGGTGACAACCAGTCAAGTTTGTTCCATCAACATCTGACAAAGCAACTGGATTATTTGGTAAATCTAGTGCTCAAAAAACATTTAATTTACATAGTAAAGAAGAAAAACCAGAAGCATTTGGTGAAGGTAAAAAAACATTTGATTTACCTAGTAAGGAGGAAAATTCATTAGCATTCGGTGGATCTTGTCAATCAAAATTTGGTGGTGTGCCCATGGGTTCACGGGTTCATGGTCGACCTAGTGGTTTATTTTAAAAACTTTTTTTTAAATATATCATTTTAAATTGTAAAAACATGTAATAAATTGTTTTTTCTTGATTAAAATTGTTTTGCAATTTTTTACATTTTTTTTCATTTTTTTACATTATTGAATTTACTTTTTTTCAATTTTTTTCAACTTTTTTCAACTTTTTACAATAAATTTCATTTTTTTTACAATTTTCTCTATATTTATACTTTTTTCTATATCTACTTGTATCATAGATATTCAGTCGATCAAAGAGAGAAGATGTCTTTCAAAAGTAGAATTAATTCAATTATTGAAGCTCTGAAATATGATGGTCAATACTTGTTTATGACAGGTCTTCTTCATATTGGATTTTTTTTCTGTATTCATAAAGCAACGTCTTTGGTTCAAGCTGTTAATATTGGTGTTTGTGATTAATTTTATCTCAACTTTTTTGGTAAGCATATTTTAATTTTTATTATTTATTAACATTATGACACTTACTTGTTTATCATCATTGTTTTAGAAAAAATTTTGTTAAATATTAGAATGTGTGATATACGAACCAAGTCAATTTATCCATGTCTTTGTATGCAGATGAAAAGTTGTTTAAGTGGTATTGGGCCGATAATGAATTTGGTGAATTATTTGAGTCCTTTTATCGATTTTATATTGTGGATAAAGCATTGAAGCGAGACAATTTGTATCATCAATAAATTGGACTTTGGACTTTCCATATTATCATTCCAAAATTTCGCGAAGAGGAAGCAGAGAAATTGCGGGTCGTTTCGTTTTCGAGGACTTAATTTGGAAATTGTTGGTAAACGTTTCACCATAATTCTTATTACCATTTTTTCTTCAGAATGAAAAAGAATTCATCTGGCGGTGTCTCATCTCCAACATTTTCATCAACATCGTCATCTGAAATCTGAGATTGACAGTTGCCTAAAGGGTTACCCTTTAGGCAACTGAAGCGTGTCATCGTCTTCATTGTTAGTTGCAGTGGACCAACTCTCTTCTTCAAACTTATCTCCTTTCTTTGTACGAATCTTATTAGTTGTCTTGCGATCAAAGGTTGTGCTACGTTCAACATTTCGTGAAGAGGAAGCAGAGAAATTGCAGGTCGTTTCCTTTTCGAGGACTTAATTTGGAAATTGTTGGTAAACGTTTCACCATAATTCTTATTACCATTTTTTTCTTCAGAATGAAAAAGAATTCATCTGGCGGTGTCTCATCTCCAACATTTTCATCAACATCGTCATCTGAAAACTCAGATCTCATTGAAATATTTGTCAGTTTTCCACTACTCTGTTTATTACCACGAATCCTGGCAAGTTTGTAACTTCAAACACTTGGCTCACCAGTTGGCCTGAATTACAAACACTTGGCTCAACAGTTGGAGCGAGAGAGCCAGTTCAAGATCCTCCATCACTCCTGTCAACAGTGAAAATGCGGTGAGCCAACCGACACTCGTATGGTCAGGAATAAAGCAAGAGAGTCCATCTAATGATGAAGAGGTAATGTCATTTAGAAATATATATATATAATATGTAAAAAGATAAAAAGTTTCTCCGGATTTTAAGTGATTTTTATTGAGCTTTCGACTCGTTGCTTCGAGCCTTCATCAGAATGAGGATATTAAATAAAAATCACTTAAAATTCGGAGAAACTTTTATCTTTTATGTATTAAATGCCTGGATTACAAATTTTCAAACTTATATATAATATGATAACATATAGGATTCTCTGGATTTTTATTTTGAAATTTTTATTAAGCTTTCAACTCGGTGCTTCGAGCCTTCGTCAGAATGTGAGAATAAATTATTTATAAACAAGACAAACTCAAAATCTACATACAAACTCAAATCATACTTCACTAAACATAAAGACCGAACAACGAAAAATAAGTAAATCACCGAATAAAAATGGCAATGATAGTAATAATTCTAAATACTAATAATATAAGTACTAAATGTGGAAGCAAATATATTTTAGATTAATATAAAAAATTCATATCATGATATGATATTATTCTTTAAAACATAAACATTACCTGGCAAAGGATCGAAGTTTATTCCACATTTAATTTCGATGTCTTTCAAACTTGATTCCTCTTTTCCTGCGGCCACGAAATTTATGGCCACGCCATACGATCCTGTTTAACGTTCAAAACTAAACATAATCCCCAATAATGAATGAAATTTTTCCAATGTTGGGAAGATGTTTGACGTACGCATTAAAAAAATATGAAAAAAATAGATGAGAAGTTGGTTCCCGTAGTCGATGACTTATCATACGATAAATGGCTTTGATAATGGCAATGTATTTCTGATGAGCCATCATGATAACAAATTATTCTTTAATAGACGGATGGGTTAGGTAGGTAACGATGGATTTTATAGGAATGTAAGTAGAATGGATTGGTGGCATGGGTTGATATAAGGGTACATAGGGTACAAACACAAGCTTATTTGTCATTTTATCGATGTCATTTTATATGTATTGATCAACATTTGTCTTTTTTCTTGTTGTGTAAAGACGTGTTACGTCGTGAACAAAAAAATAATATCATTGTCAAACACCGAAACATGACATTGTGTAAGTAAAAATGGCCAACCAGGTTAAAATCTTTCTACTTTGAGATCTATTATCCGTAAATATTTTAGCAGTATGTAAAATCGCCATTTTCAGTAACGCCATCTTCGTCAAAAAAATAATGGACGACTGTTGCAATTAGCTATCTATAAATAATTTAAATGGTGACCTACCGTAACGTCCAGCCCTCCCAACTCTATGTAAATATGTCTCAGAGTCACGTGGAAGATCCGTGTTAATCACAAGGTTCACACGTTCAGCATCGATGCCACGAGACATCTATAGATACAGAAGATAAAGTATGGATAGATGTTTTGATAAAGGGATAAATGTTGTGATGAGGGGAGAGATGGTGCAACGAAGGGATCATCTCAGTACAAATGGATTTCCACATAAATTTTTGAATGTTAATGCTCCTGTTTAAAGATAATTTTAAATCAAACAAATCATTATAATAATACCATTACTACTTATAATTACTTATAATGGTAGAGAAGATTCAATGGGAGATTCACTCTACACTATAATTCAAGATTCAATCTCTCGGGATGTTACCTCTGATATTAATCATAACATTAACGAGTGACGTTGTAACGCGGTATACTGGATGCTATCATTAATAAAATTTATCACAACATTGACGAGTTACTCTTGGAGATAATACAAGATGCTATCTTTAATATAAATCTAAATATTAACGAGTTACCCCTTGGTTGTTGTACGTAATGCTACCGTATCACAATATTGACAAGTTACGCTAGTTAGTAATACAAGATCCTATCTTTAATACTAATGTAATCATAACATTGACAAGTTCCCCCTAGATGGAATACAGATGATTTGTTTAAAATTAAGAATATTTCTACTATAACTGACGTCCAAGTATCCAAGCAAGAAAATATAGAAATCAGTTAACGTCACTTACAAGACCTGTTGATATCAAAATACGACATTTGAGCTGCTTCAACTTCCTCATTGCATCAAGACGTTCATTTTGCCCTTGACCACCTTTCTCAAAAAAATAAACATAAAAAAAATAAACATGACTGTATTTCATTCTTGGTTTATCCAATGACAGAGAACAAAATTAACATAGTGATGACAACTAACAGACCAGAGAGTACAAAAGCAGAGAAACTTGTTTTATAAACTAACACTAACCAAAGTATGACAAAACATCATGTTTCTAAAACACAGTGGCATGACCTCTCTACTTTGTTATTTACTTTGGTAAATATTTTTATTAGAAAATACCAAGAAAGCATCTTGGTGTTCATGAATACGAAAAACAAAATAAGGAAAATTACCCTAAATGACAAATCAAACAAAGATAATTGACCAAGATTTATAAATTACATAGCAAACACTACCTGAAATATGTGTAGAAGGAAATCCAATTTTAGCCAAAGTTTCACTCAAATTCTTTGCTCTATGAAATAAATTTATACATAAAAATTAAGAACCAACATACAAATTGTGACGGCAATGGATACTAAGTAGTTTTTTGTTAGATACATACCTTATTTGATAGTTAGAAAAGATAAGGCATTGATGGAAAGATATCTGTGACAACATAACCAGTAAATGAATAACCTAGAGTAGAATATTCAACACTTGAACAAATGCACAGATAAGGTAAATTATAAATGTCATATCACATAAGCCTGCAAAACATGCAGCACACTGGACAGCAGTTTCACAAGTTAATAGAATGAGTGACATACATTGAGTGGTAACATACAGAATAAAGATTTAGATAATGTCTAGACCAACAGTCCAGTGTTTGCATGCATGTGTAAGCCTATAGCCAACTAGGTATGACCAATACTACGAACCTTTTCATCAAATGTTTTATGTGGGAGAGAATGACTTGGTATTGTGCAAAAATAATGATGAATCCTTAAAAACATATTCATGTACTTTTAAAAGTCAGTACATACAATATAAATGTTCATGCAAAAGACCATAGATCACGAATTTTCATGCAAAACACTGTAGATCATGAACTTTCATGCAAAAGACTATAGTACACGAATTTTGTATCGAAAGGTTTGTATCTTATTGAGACGAAACTGGGATGCTTTATTGGGAAGTATGACTCTTATTGAGACAAAACTGTTCTAATTTAAAGCCAATAAATATTTGAGGAAAAATACTAACAAAATCCTGCCTTGTTTTTCTTCCTCTTTAATCCATCCTCTTTCATTCCTAAAAACTAAAACAAAAGTACACGAATTTTCTTTCAAGGGACTATACATCACGAATTTTCATGCAAAAGACTATAGTACAAGAATTTTCATGCAAAAGACTATAGATCACGAATTTTCATGCAAAACACTGTAGATCATGAACTTTCATGCAAAAGACTATAGTACACGAATTTTGTATCGAAAGGTTTGTATCTTATTGAGACGAAACTGGGATGCTTTATTGGGAAGTCTGACTCTTATTGAGACAAAACTGTTCTAATTTATGGGTAATAAATATTTGAGGAATAATACTAACAAAATCCTGCCTTGTTTTTCTTCCTCTTTAATCCATCCTCTTTCATTCCTAAAAGTACACGAATTTTCTTTCAAATACATCTTTCATCACGAATTTTCATGCAAAAGACATATAGTACATAGTACACGATTTTTCATGCAAAAGACTGTAGATCACGAATTTTCATGCAAAAGACTATAATTCACGAATTTTGAATCAAGAGGTTTGAATCTTATTGAGACGAAACTGGGATGCTTTATTGGGAAGTCTGACTCTTATTGAGACAAAACTGTTCTAATTTATGGGTAATAAATCTTTGAGGAAAAATACTAACAAAATCCTGCCTTGTTTTTCTCCTTCTTTAATCCATCCTCTTTCATTCCTAAAAAGTAAAACAAAAGTACACGAATTTTCTTTCAAGGGACTATACATCACGAATTTTCATGCAAAGACTATAGATCACGAATTTTTCATGCAAAGACTGTAGATCACGAATTTCATGCAAAAGACTATAGTACACGAATTTTCATGCAAAAGACTATAGTACACGAATTTTCATGCAAAGACTATAGATCACGAATTTTCATGCAAAACACTGTAGATCATGAACTTTCATGCAAAAGACTATAGTACACGAATTTTGTATCGAAAGGTTTGTATCTTATTGAGACGAAACTGGGATGCTTTATTGGGAAGTCTGACTCTTATTGAGACAAAACTGTTCTAATTTAAAGCCAATAAATATTTGAGGAAAAATACTAACAAAATCCTGCCTTGTTTTCTTCCTCTTTAATCCATCCTCTTTCATTCCTAAAACTAAAACAAAAGTACACGAATTTTCTTTCAAGGGACTATACATCACGAATTTTCATGCAAAAGACTATAGTACACCAAAAGACTATAGATCACGAATTTTCATGCAAAACACTGTAGATCATGAACTTTCATGCAAAAGACTATAGTACACGAATTTTGTATCGAAAGGTTTGTATCTTATTGAGACGAAACTGGGATGCTTTATTGGGAAGTCTGACTCTTATTGAGACAAAACTGTTCTAATTTAAAGCCAATAAATATTTGAGGAAAAATACTAACAAAATCCTGCCTTGTTTTTCTTCCTCTTTAATCCATCCTCTTTCATTCCTAAAACTAAAACAAAAGTACACGAATTTTCTTTCAAGGGACTATACATCACGAATTTTCATGCAAAAGACTATAGTACACGAATTTTCATGCAAAAGACTATAGATCACGAATTTTCATGCAAAACACTGTAGATCATGAACTTTCATGCAAAAGACTATAGTACACGAATTTTGTATCGAAAGGTTTGTATCTTATTGAGACGAAACTGGGATGCTTTATTGGGAAGTCTGACTCTTATTGAGACAAAACTGTTCTAATTTATGGGTAATAAATATTTGAGGAATAATACTAACAAAATCCTGCCTTGTTTTTCTTCCTCTTTAATCCATCCTCTTTCATTCCTAAAAAGTAAAACAAAAGTACACGAATTTTCTTTCAAGGGACTATACATCACGAATTTTCATGCAAAAGACTATAGTACACCAATTTTCATGCAAAAGACTATAGATCACGAATTTTCATGCAAAAGACTGTAGATCACGAATTTTCATGCAAAAGACTATAGTTCACGATTTTTCATGCAAAAGACTGTAGATTACGAATTTTCATGCAAAAGACTATAATTCACGAATTTTGAATCAAGAGGTTTGAATCTTATTGAGACGAAACTGGGATGCTTTATTGGGAAGTCTGACTCTTATTGAGACAAAACTGTTCTAATTTATGCGTAATAAATATTTGAGGAAAAATACTAACAAAATCCTGCCTTGTTTTTCTCCTCTTTAATCCATCCTCTTTCATTCCTAAAAGTAAAACAAAAGTACACGAATTTTCTTTCAAGGGACTATACATCACGAATTTTCATGCAAAAGACTATACATCACGAGTTTTCATGCCAAAGACTATAGATCACGAATTTTCAGGCAAAAGACAATAGATCACGAATTTTCATACAAAAGACTATAGTTCACGAATTTTCATGCAAAGACTATAGATCACGAATTTTCATGCAAAAGACTGTAGATCATGAACTTTCATGCAAAAGACTATAGTACACGAATTTTGTATCGAAAGGTTTGTATCTTATTGAGACGAAACTGGGATGCTTTATTGGGAAGTCTGACTCTTATTGAGACAAAACTGTTCTAATTTAAAGCCAATAAATATTTGAGGAAAAATACTAACAAAATCCTGCCTTGTTTTTCTTCCTCTTTAATCCATCCTCTTTCATTCCTAAAACTAAAACAAAAGTACACGAATTTTCTTTCAAGGGACTATACATCACGAATTTTCATGCAAAAGACTATAGTACACGAATTTTCATGCAAAAGACTATAGTACACGAATTTTCATGCAAAAGACTGTAGATTATGAACTTTCATGCAAAAGACTATAGTACACGAATTTTGAATCGAAAGGTTTGTATCTTATTGAGACGAAACTGGGATGCTTTATTGGGAAGTCTGACTCTTATTGAGACAAAACTGTTCTAATTTAAAGCCAATAAATATTTGAGGAAAAATACTAACAAAATCCTGCCTTGTTTTTCTTCCTCTTTAATCCATCCTCTTTCATTCCTAAAAAGTAAAACAAAAGTACACGAATTTTCTTTCAAGGGACTATACATCACGAATTTTCATGCAAAAGACTATAGTACACGAATTTTCATGCAAAAGACTATAGATCACGAATTTTCATGCAAAACACTGTAGATCATGAACTTTCATGCAAAAGACTATAGTACACGAATTTTGTATCGAAAGGTTTGTATCTTATTGAGACGAAACTGGGATGCTTTATTGGGAAGTCTGACTCTTATTGAGACAAAACTGTTCTAATTTATGGGTAATAAATATTTGAGGAATAATACTAACAAAATCCTGCCTTGTTTTTCTTCCTCTTTAATCCATCCTCTTTCATTCCTAAAAGTAAAACAAAAGTACACGAATTTTCTTTCAAGGGACTATACATCACGAATTTTCATGCAAAAGACTATAGTACACCAATTTTCATGCAAAGACTATAGATCACGAATTTTCATGCAAAGACTGTAGATCACGAATTTTCATGCAAAAGACTATAGTTCACGATTTTTTCATGCAAAAGACTGTAGATTACGAATTTTCATGCAAAAGACTATAATTCACGAATTTTGAATCAAGAGGTTTGAATCTTATTGAGACGAAACTGGGATGCTTTATTGGGAAGTCTGACTCTTATTGAGACAAAACTGTTCTAATTTATGGGTAATAAATATTTGAGGAAAAATACTAACAAAATCCTGCCTTGTTTTTCTTCCTCTTTAATCCTTCCTCTTTCATTCCTAAAAGTAAAACAAAAGTACACGAATTTTCTTTCAAGGGACTATACATCACGAATTTTCATGCAAAAGACTATAGTACACGAATTTTCATGCAAAAGACTATAGATCACGAATTTTCATGCAAAACACTGTAGATCATGAACTTTCATGCAAAAGACTATAGTACACGAATTTTGTATCGAAAGGTTTGTATCTTATTGAGACGAAACTGGGATGCTTTATTGGGAAGTCTGACTCTTATTGAGACAAAACTGTTCTAATTTAAAGCCAATAAATATTTGAGGAAAAATACTAACAAAATCCTGCCTTGTTTTTCTTCCTCTTTAATCCATCCTCTTTCATTCCTAAAAACTAAAACAAAAGTACACGAATTTTCTTTCAAGGGACTATACATCACGAATTTTCATGCAAAAGACTATAGTACACGAATTTTCATGCAAAAGACTATAGATCACGAATTTTCATGCAAAACACTGTAGATCATGAACTTTCATGCAAAAGACTATAGTACACGAATTTTGTATCGAAAGGTTTGTATCTTATTGAGACGAAACTGGGATGCTTTATTGGGAAGTCTGACTCTTATTGAGAGAAAACTGTTCTAATTTATGGGTAATAAATATTTGAGGAATAATACTAACAAAATCCTGCCTTGTTTTTCTTCCTCTTTAATCCATCCTCTTTCATTCCTAAAAAGTAAAACAAAAGTACACGAATTTTCTTTCAAGGGACTATACATCACGAATTTTCATGCAAAAGACTATAGTACACCAATTTTCATGCAAAAGACTATAGATCACGAATTTTCATGCAAAAGACTGTAGATCACGAATTTTCATGCAAAAGACTATAGTTCACGATTTTTTCATGCAAAAGACTGTAGATTACGAATTTTCATGCAAAAGACTATAATTCACGAATTTTGAATCAAGAGGTTTGAATCTTATTGAGACGAAACTGGGATGCTTTATTGGGAAGTCTGACTCTTATTGAGACAAAACTGTTCTAATTTATGCGTAATAAATATTTGAGGAAAAATACTAACAAAATCCTGCCTTGTTTTTCTTCCTCTTTAATCCTTCCTCTTTCATTCCTAAAAAGTAAAACAAAAGTACACGAATTTTCTTTCAAGGGACTATACATCACGAATTTTCATGCAAAAGACTATAGTACACGAATTTTCATGCAAAAGACTATAGTACACGAATTTTCATGCAAAAGACTATAGATCACGAATTTTCATGCAAAACACTGTAGATCATGAACTTTCATGCAAAAGACTATAGTACACGAATTTTGTATCGAAAGGTTTGTATCTTATTGAGACGAAACTGGGATGCTTTATTGGGAAGTCTGACTCTTATTGAGACAAAACTGTTCTAATTTATGCGTAATAAATATTTGAGGAAAAATACTAACAAAATCCTGCCTTGTTTTTCTTCCTCTTTAATCCTTCCTCTTTCATTCCTAAAAAGTAAAACAAAAGTACACGAATTTTCTTTCAAGGGACTATACATCACGAATTTTCATGCAAAGACTATAGTACACCAATTTTCATGCAAAAGACTATAGATCACGAATTTTCATGTAAAAGACTGTAGATCACGAATTTTCATGCAAAAGACTATAGACACGAATTTTCATGCAAAAGACTGTAGATCGCGAATTTCATGCAAAATACTATAGTATACGAATTTTCATGCAAAAGACTATAGTACACGAATTTTGAATCGAAAGGTTTGTATCTTATTGAGACGAACTGGGGTGCTTTATTGGGAAGTCTGACTCTTATTGAGACAAAACTGTTCTAATTTATGGGTAATAAATCTTTGAGGAAAAATACTAACAAAATCCTGCCTTGTTTTTCTCCTTCTTTAATCCATCCTCTTTCATTCCTAAAAAGTAAAACAAAAGTACACGAATTTTCTTTCAAGGGACTATACATCACGAATTTTCATGCAAAAGACTATAGTACACCAATTTTGAATCGAAAGGTTTGTATCTTATTGAGACGAAACTGGGATGCTTTATTGGGAAGTCCGACTCTTATTGAGACAAAACTGTTCTAAGTTAAAGCCAATAAATATTTGAGGAAAAATACTAACAAAATCCTGCCTTGTTTTTCTTCCTCTTTAATCCATCCTCTTTCATTCCTAAACAGTAAACAAAAGTACACGAATTTTCTTTCAAGGGAGTATACATCACGAATTTTCATGCAAAAGACTATAGTACACCAATTTTCATGCAAAAGACTATAGATGACGAATTTTCATGCAAAACACTGTAGATCGCGAATTTCTTGCAAAATACTATAGTACACGAATTTTCATGCAAAGACTATAGTACACGAATTTTCATGCAAAAGACTATAGATGACGAATTTTCATGCAAAAGACTGTAGATCGCGAATTTCATGCAAAATACTATAGTATACGAATTTTCATGCAAAAGACTATAGTACACGAATTTTCATGCAAAAGACTATAGTACACGAATTTTCATGCAAAAGACTATAGTACACGAATTTTCATGCAAAGACTATAGATCACGAATTTTCATGGAAAACACAATAGTACACGAATGTTCATTCAAGGGACTATTATACATCACGAATTTTCATGCAAAAGACTATAGTACACGAATTTTCATGGAAAAGACTATAGTACACGAATTTTCATTCAAAAGACTATAGATCACGAATTTTCATGCAAAAGACTATAGTATACGAATTTTGAATCGAGAGGTTTGTATCTTATTGAGACGAAACTGGGATGCTTTATTGGGAAGTCTGACTCTTATTGAGACAAAACTGTTCTAATTTATGCGTAATAAATATTTGAGGAAAAATACTAACAAAATCCTGCCTTGTTTTTCTTACTCTTTAATCCATCCTCTTTCATTCCTAAAAAGTAAAACAAAAGTACAAGAATTTTCTTTCAAGGGACTTGTTACTATCAAGTCGTCATACAACAAGAATAAGCCAATCACAAATTTATTAATTTCAAATTACTGTTTTCGAATTACTGTTCTCAAATTACTGGTTTAAATTACGTTAAGGACCGTTTGGTCCCACGTACAACATTCAACAACAACAATCTGTCTTTTACTCTTATTAAAACAACACCCTTTCAAACGTCACTTCCTGTTTTCCATTCCGTCCGTAGCGACAATCCATACGGTAGCCACACCAGCCCCTAAATGGAAATTGCAACGTAGGAATCCATTTAAACCATATCAAGCTACCGTTAAATCTGGTACATATCACAACAAGAACATAACTCTTAAATTCTAAATTATTTGGATATGTAAACTTCAATTGTCCATCTCAAGTAGACATAATTTAGTCACGGGACGGATCAAGGTTACCGTGTTCATCTTGTAATCTCCCTTTCGTTGATTTCGTTGATGTTTGGCTCTAGTCGATACTGTTGAACTAGGTTTACCTTCACTGTCCGAACATTACCGTCATTACTTGCTATTGCTTCTACAACGAGACCTAACGGCCATTGTCCCCTTGGGTAGTTTTCGTCAGCTACAAGTACTAGATCTCCCTTTTTAAGATTCCGTCTCGGTGTGTACCATTTCTTTCTCTCTATTTATGTTGGTAAGTATTCTTTGAGCCATCTACGCCAAAAAACATTTGCTAAGTATTGAGCCTGCTTCCAATTCTTCTTACAGCACAAATCCTTTTTGTCAAATAATCCTGGGGGTAAACTAGTACTTGCTCGTAAATGCAATAAGTGGTTTGGAGTTAGAGGATCGTCATCGTCAGGACTGTCACTGTTGCGCGTGAGAGGTCTTGAATTAAGGATTAGAACCACCTCTGCAATCACGGTTTGCAGGACTTCGTCTGAAACTACTTGTTCTTTGAGAATTGCTTTGAGGATTTGTCTAACAGATCGTATCATTCTCTCCCATACGCCTCCCATATGGCTCGCTGAAGGCGGGTTAAAGTGCCACTTAATTCTTCTTTGCGTACAAAATTTGTCCACTTTACCTTGATCCCATTCTTCAATTCCTTTGTTCAATTCCTTGTTAGCACTCACAAAATTTGTTCCTCTATCACTCCTGATTTGCTCGGGACATCCTCGCATGCTAATAAATCTCCTGAGAGCGTTGATCATCGAGTCTGTATCCAAGGAATGAGCTATTTCTATATGGATTGCTCGGTCCGTGAAACATGTGAAAAGGCAACCATATCTTTTCATAACGATCTACCTCTTTTCACCAGCATGGGTCCAAAATAATCGATTCCTACTATAGTAAAGGGAGGTTTTTGGGGTGTCACTCGGCTTTCTGGTAGATCTGACATTAGCTGCTCACCCAAACGAGCCTTTCTTCTTTGACAAGCTAGGCAACTTCGTACTACGCGTCGAACTGCTGTTCTTCCTTTAATTATCCAGAATTCCTTTCTTAGTGATGATAAGACGGATTCTTGACCCATATGACCTACTTCAGCATGATGTTGACGAATTATCATATCCGTGACGGGATGCTTGAAGGGTAGAATAATAGGATGTTTTGATTTCCCGTTGATTGGCGCATTACCAAGCCTGCCTCCAACCTTTAGTAAGCCGTTCACCATCATTGGATTTAATTGTCGGATGGAGATTCCTGATTTTCTGAGTAGTGCTTTGTCAAGCTCGTTACTATTTCCTAGAACTGCAAACAGTTTTAGTTCTTGAGAGAATGTGGTGTTCTGTACATGTGCGAAGATCTCCCTATCGGCGGCATCCAATTCTTCCATTGTTAGTCGTCCAACTTTAAATTCCGATTCCAAATGAGGACCAGAAATAACGGATGTCTGTCAAATAGGATGTCTGTCAAAAAACGATTCCAAATGAGGACCAGAAATTCCGATTCCAAATGAGGACCAGAAATAACGGATGTCTGTCAAATAGGATGTCTGTACAACAAGCATAACGATGAGCGGTATGAAATCTTTTTCAATATATTATTCTGTTTGATTATACCGTCAAAATTACATTATACTTTGCGTTAAATATGTAGCTATTAGATGTATTGAGTATTTCTTTAAACCAGTTAAATACATCTAATTATGTATATACACAATAACATATGTATATACACAATATCTGTTGAAACTAAGTAAAGATTGTTTCAGCAAGAAATCTCTTTACACATAGCGCGGGAAAGATCGCCAAAAAGTCATACGACGTATTGATCAAAATAGGTCACGTGTCAAGTGGTATAAACATTCACCAGCAAGAGCTGGGTGACGCGGTATGTGTAAATTGATCAAATCGTGCAGAGATAGCACAAAATTTAATAGCATAGTAGGTTTCGTGTGATGTATTTAAAATACGATTGCTTTCATTTCAAGTTAAATATTATGTTTTAACTTGTTAAAACCCAGTATGATGTACTATTATATAGTAGCAAATACTGGCAAATTATATCTGTATATAACACATACAATAAAGAGTCCTTGAAGTTGATGCATCAGTAAATTCTTCTACTTTGTAGACATATTATATTTACATATACTGAACTATACGTATGTTATATATATACAATAAAAGTTATACAATTTCCATGCTCTGTTTTTTTTGACAGACATCCTACAAGTTTTACCTTTTAACCATTATGTGTAGAAGGAACAGTTTGTTTTGTTGTTGTCGTCGTTGAAACAGATGATACCGTTGAAGTTTGCCTGTAAAATATTTGCTGAAAGTTTAGGGAAAAATTGATAAACTATTCATGAAATAATAGGTAGTAGCATTTTCTTTCTAAAACAAGCCTAAGTTTGAGTTCTTTGTGTTGTATTATTACGAAATAAAAGATTTTTACTGTGTTTGCACAGGCTTATGCAAACCGAGGAGACCTTTGGGAGAACACGAGAGCAGATCAGTGCAAGCCCGAAACCGAAGGTAGAGTGTTGCACATGCTCAAGATTTCTCACAAACATCTCCGAGGTTTGCATAAGGCAGTAAACAGAAAAATATCTTTTTAAAAAAATATCAATAATGCGAAATAGACAAATTTAAAACAAACGATTTAATTTTTCCTCTAAAATGTATTCATGATTGATTTGCGAATTCTCTTTGATTGATTTGATTTGTTGGGCTCAGATCGGTTTGCAGAAGCTAATGAAAACACAGTTATAGACCAATCAGGGCATGCGCTAGATTGCTTTATGTTCTTGTTTTGACTTTCAATTTTTCTGTCTATTCTTGCCTTACAAACATTAACACTAAAATATCGTTTAATATTCTGTATATTGAACAATAAATTACACTCAAACATGATCACGTGTTTACTCACATGAAAAATGGAAAGTATTTGAACAAAGAACTCTTGCAAGGATTTTCACCTAACTCTGGAACAGCACCCAGACTATAATTGATCAATTTTCTCAAGTAATTTTCCAATTGTTTCCGACGTTTTTCCACAAAATTTACGTCACGATTTCCAAGAATTTTTTTTGGGGAAACGTGAATTGTGCAACAGGTTTAAACTGCTTGCTTGTCTGTGCATAAAAAGGAAAAGGAAGGGATTGTACATTACGGCAAAACAATATGATTAAAAATATCGCCCTGATTGCAAAGATGTTGTCAAAGAATGATTTTTTTTCAAATCATTCGCAGTTTTAAACTCGTCTTTAAGATGCAGAACTTCCTGGCTTTTCTTTGTTAATCGAGCCACTTGTTCATCTGTTTCATTCTCCTTGTTCTCAACGTTGGATTTCGCCATTGTGGAAGAAGACTTGAATTCTCAGAATTTGAACAATAAGCCAACTGAGAGTTCTTTGGCACTTCAAGAAAATCGTCAGGCCTTTTAGTAAAAGCATGGTTACCACGAGCATGTACCTGAGAATCAGTATTACGTTGTAATATATCGTATGCCGCTCGGGTAAAACTCGTGGAACTATCGTGAGCAGTCGTATTCGTGGAAGAACTACCATGAGAACTGACAGTACAAGTTCCTTCTTCCGTCTCTGTGAATTCAACATTTTCAATTTGCGCAATGTTTGCTTTCTTTTTTTTACGTTTTGTCTTTTCTTTTCCTGAAACACAAAAGAAAGATAACAGTTACAACTTAATAAAGACGCGTGGGGATAAATGACTACGCATTGTTGAAGTATGATAAAGAATAAATGAGGATGCGCGGTTAAGGGATGATAAGGGATGAATAAAAAACAGGTATAGTTAAGGGATAAATGAAGACATGTAATAATGGGATAATAAAGGTTAAGGAGAGCACATGAATGGGGGATTACAAGGAATAAATGACATGTGTGGTTAAGGAATGATAAGATTAGCGATATATGAGATGAATGGTAGGGATAGTTAGGGATAAAAGCGATTATAGATTCATTTTGACTCTGAAGATGACTTCATATAGCACGTTTTAAGGGCATTATTTATACGTTGTATATTCAATCGGTTTCATAAATATGTATTTCCTAGGTGAAAGTGTGTCAAAAAGCGCTCAAATACTGGCATTTTGTCAATTCTATTATCTGAATCAGTAATAATCTCAAGGATGTCTGTTCCATCTTGCTTTTTGCAGTTTCCATATCTACCTTCAATGCTGCTTCGTAAAAGTAATCTTTTATAGGCAGCTGTGAACTGTTGGGCTGTTGGGTTATTGTTAAATCCTCCTGCTGATCGAATTGCCCCAAAAAATAGCTCTAAGTGATCTTGGCTGAACTTGTATGTTAGTATGTATTTCATTGGTGCATTTTTTCTTTCAACCAGGTCAGAGAAAATTTGCTTGATGTTTGTTATTGCCACCAAGAGTCCCACAAATCCTGTCTTTCGGCGAGTGTTGTACAGCAGATTACCAGATACATCTCGCAGATTTATAATGTAGTTATAAGCTTCTGCTAAAATGCCTCCCAAGTTTCTTTGTTGCTTTTTCGAAGAGCAGCCTTATAACCTTTGGCACATGGGTTTCGAGAGTTAAGAATGTCGAACAGATGATCTATGATGCGAATAAAGTAGACAGTGGCTTCCGATCCTTGAAATTGTGGAAGTTTAAGAGTGTTTGTGCAGTATTCTATTGCATCAGAAACACTGGAACTTAGTGTTTGGGCAGCCAAATTTACTTTCATTTTCTGCTGCCACCATTTTATATGTGCCTCCTTCAACTTGTTTCCAAGTCTCAAGCCTTCGTTATCTTGGAGCTTTTGTAATTCTGTAATATACTCCCAACATATTTTTTGACCATCACCATCAACTAATATTTTGCCATCTCCCAGCGTGTTCCTAACGAGCTTGATCATGTGGCAAATATTGAGGAACACATAAACTCTCCTGTTTTTATCTGAAGGATGGATGAAATATGGATGTAGTTGAGGTGGTGTCATACTTGCTCCAAGAGCTCGTAACATAGCGAAATGGCAGGATGGCCCATCACATACAAAAGAAATCACATCAACACCGATATCGTGAAGTTTCTTGATGCACAGCTCAACCAAATTTGCGCGCTCTTCACCGCTCTGTCCATCGATAAAGAAGTAGGCTACTGGAACTTTCCACGTTTGTTTCAAGCAAACTACCATATAAACTAGAGCGTCCTTTGCAACGGGAGAAGAATCATCAGCTTCATCGTCGTTTCCGAGATCAACATAGCCACGAAATTTCTTGCCATCCCATGATACATGTTTTTTAATAGCCATTTCATCGATCATTAAGGAACACTCTAACTTCTCTTGATTTCTTACTTTCAAGGCAAGTGCTTCAAATGATGGCTGTGTAAATCCTGCTTCAGCAGGGACCTTCGTATACCATTTACGAATTTGTGTTGGATGAGGTAAAGCTAAATTGAATGTTTTGCGCACAAAATCGTAAGCTTTCGACGAATAAAACTGAAGAGTTAACCCAAATGACTTAAGTTCTGGTGAGTACTTGCATCCTTGGTGTGTCTTTGACATCATTTTTTTGTACAGCTCTGTTGGAAGACCAGCTATATTTCTTTCGAGCATTTCTTCGCAAGACGAGGAAATCAGATTCTTTTCTTTTAGCTGCTTTATAACGGACGTCAGTGAGGTAACTTTTTTGTTAAGGCGTCTTGCTTTCTGTTGGGTAGACTTAAGTTTCTTTTTAAGTTTTGAAACCTTTTGCTGATGAATATTCTTCATTTCTTCTATTTCATGGTCGTCAAGCATTGTCTTCTTCTCAGGAGGATCGTCGTCATCGTCACTCTCGACAGTGGTAATTAGCGCTCGCTTTCTTGTCGTGGTGGTCTAACAGATTTAAATGTTTTCTGAATACGTTGGTGAAATTTTTGATCTTGCAGACAGTCAAACTGATCTTAATTGGTTTTATCATGTTGATGTACGATGCATGCATATCGTGTAGCAGGCAGAACTAATTTTAGCTACAGTGTGCAACTCAGTGTGAACAATTACATGTATATAGTTATGCAACTTTTATATAATCATTTTTTTCCAATCTTTGTTCCTATAAACTATTATACTAAATATTTCTTTAATTGTTGTTCACCTTTTTCATATGTTGTGGAAAGAGTTTAAAACGAGTTGGAACAGCATCTTTTTGTAACTTAACAACTTTTCCAGATCTGTCAAAACAGCTTTCCAGAAAGTGATCTGAACACAGCCTGCTCGTCGAGCTAGGTGTTCAACGTTCTCTGTGTATATTTTTAATCCATACCTTTCTTCTTTCAAGATCAGCAGGGAATCTTGTCAAAAGTAAAAAAATCGTGGCTATTTTTACCGTTTATCAAGTACAAATGTAGAAAAAAGTGCACTACATGCATAAACACCGTTGTAGGGAGGTGTGGGGACACCTCCCTCCCTCATTACAATTATTCTATATAAATTTGTGTGCATATAAGGTAATTAAGATCAGAAAGATAATTAAGTAATTGCCCTCCCAAAAATTACCTTTGTCAGTGCCTATTCTTGTGAACGTTAACGAGCTTACCGATGAAACGTCCGTGGAAACTGTCTTTTAATGGAGGTTTCGTCGTCAGATGGCCCTTCGCTACTGCTCCGATTGAGCTCATCGTCTTCCTCATTCACTTTTTTCTTGCGTTTTGTACAGCCGTATGCGCAGCATTGAGTGCCACGATTGTCTGGCATTTTTTAGATCATCCTTTAAGATCGATAATCCTTTTTTGAACTATATGCTATTAGCTTTGATATTTCTATTAGCTTTGATATTTCGCCCTGACGAGCAGGCTGTGTTCAGATCACTTTCTGGAAAGCTGTTTTGACAGATCTGGAAAAGTTGTTAAGTTACAAAAAGATGCTGTTCCAACTCGTTTTAAACTCTTTCCACAACATATGAAAACGGTGAACAACAATCAAAGAAATATTTAGTATAATAGTTTATAGGAACAAAGATTGGAAAAAAATGATTATATAAAAGTTGCATAAAGCTTGAAAGTAAGAAATCAAGAGAAGTTAGAGTGTTCCTTAATGATCGATGAAATGGCTATTAAAAAACATGTATCATGGGATGGCAAGAAATTTCGTGGCTATGTTGATCTCGGAAACGACGATGAAGCTGATGATTCTTCTCCCGTTGCAAAGGACGCTCTAGTTTTTATGGTAGTTTGCTTGAAACAAACGTGGAAAGTTCCAGTAGCCTACTTCTTTATCGATGGACAGAGCGGTGAAGAGCGCGCAAATTTGGTTGAGCTGTGCATCAAGAAACTTCACGATATCGGTGTTGATGTGATTTCTTTTGTATGTGATGGGCCATCCTGCCATTTCGCTATGTTACGAGCTCTTGGAGCAAGTATGACACCACCTCAACTACATCCATATTTCATCCATCCTTCAGATAAAAACAGGAGAGTTTATGTGTTCCTCGATATTTGCCACATGATCAAGCTCGTTAGGAACACCCTGGGAGATGGCAAAATATTAGTTGATGGTGATGGTCAAAAAATATGTTGGGAGTATTACAGAATTACAAAAGCTCCAAGATAACGAAGGCTTGAGACTTGGAAACAAGTTGAAGGAGGCACATATAAAATGGTGGCAGCAGAAAATGAAAGTAAATTTGGCTGCCCAAACACTAAGTTCCAGTGTTTCTGATGCAATAGAATACTGCACAAACACTCTTAAACTTCCACAATTTCAAGGATCGGAAGCCACTATCTACTTTATTCGCATCATAGATCATCTGTTCGACATTCTTAACTCTCGAAACCCAAGTGCCAAAGGTTATAAGGCTGCTCTTCGAAAAAGCAACAAAGAAACTTAAGAGGCATTTTTAGCAGAAGCTTATAACTACAATATAAATCTGCGAGATGTATCTGGTAATCTGCTGTACAACACTCGCCGAAAGACAGGATTTGTGGGACTCTTGGTGGCAATAACAAACATCAAGCAAATTTTCTCTGACCTGGTTGAAAGAAAAAATGCACCAATGAAATACATACTAACATGCAAGTTCAGCCAAGATCACTTAGAGCTATTTTTTGGGGCAATTCGATCAGCAGGAGGATTTAACAATAACCCAACAGCCCAACAGTTCACAGCTGCCTATAAAAGATTACTTTTACGAAGCAGCATTGAAGGTAGAAATGGAAACTGCAAAAAGCAAGATGGAACAGACATCCTTGAGATTATTACTGATTCAGATAATAGAATTGACAAAATGATAAATATAAATGATGTTGCACTCATTAGGAAATATGATCTGGAAAAAGTGTTTCTGAGTCAACAAGAAGAAAATTTCTCTAATGTGCCCAACATTCCTGTTGTCTCAGATTTTAAGACAGCTGCTATATCATATATAGCAGGCTTTGTTGTGAAGATGATTACAAGAAAAATTACCTGTTCTATTTGCTGTGGTGCACTTGGTTCAAGTCAACAATCTGCAGAATCTGATTTCCTGTCCTTGAAAGACAAAGGTGGTTTGATAAAACCAACAAAAAGTGTCATTGACATATGTATTGAAACTGAAAAATATTTTCAGCGAATGCTGTCTTCAACAGATGGGCATCTACCACAAAGCAGAGGCCTACCTAATGCTATCGCTACTTCGGTCTTAAGTAGCACAAATATGGCAACTTCTTTTGAGGAACTAAATGAACACATGTTTGATACAACTGTCACTGACAACCATACTCACAAACTCATTAAAGCCATCTCAACATGTTATAGCAAGATCCGATTTTACCACTTAGGGAAGTGTTATACAGAGAAGTTGTACAATAACAAAGTCAGGAAGAAACTAAGTAAGTTGGTATTATTTAAACATCAATGACATTTAAACTATCAATTGTGTATATACATAATTAGATGTATTTAACTGGTTTAAAGAAATACTCAATACATCTAATAGCTACATATTTAACGCAAAGTATAATGTAATTTTGACGGTATAATCAAACAGAATAATATATTGAAAAAGATTTCATACCGCTCATCGTTATGCTTGTTGTACATCAATCAGCACAATACATCCATAGATCGAGTATGATATCGCTGTATTTGCCACACGAACTAAGCCACACTATCGCAGATTGTGCTGTGATATGATATTTAGATGTGGAAATTCCAGTACCTTAAGCCTTCGTCGCTGCTGATGCTTTCAAATCGAGCTACACTTGAAATGAATTTTACGGCGATGTATTGGCGTATTCTGTTATCTTTTTCTTCAAAAACTATGGTCACATTGATTTTTTTCATTAATAGTGCAAAAAAGTTGATGCAACCTTCGCGATTTGCTAATAATTGCGAGATATTCACTTGGACCACATATTTTCTAATACAACGCCATATTGATTCTCACTACTTTGGGGCTCCGGAAGTAAATTTGCCCGGCTTCAACTTTTATGTCAGTTGCACTATCTAGTGTATTATTAGATCTGTGATGGTAACTCTTAGAATTTCAAATCAAAGATGATCGCGTGCTCGCATTGTTCGAAAAGTTGCTCTTCAAAAAACATTATAATTTTGTATCTCTAAGGAGAAAAGTTATTTTGTTAGTAATTCGGACCTTTCCTTTTGTTATTCCGATAATAATCAGAGTGAAAAATAATGGGGAATAGTCGAAATAGAAAGAGAAAAGCTGTTAGAACTCCGCCATCAAAAATGGCAAAGAAGTTAAAACATGGCGGAAACGATGACGCAAACCCTGGACCTTCTGGAAAGAAAATAAATCATCAAACAAGGAGCATTGGCGAAATTTTTAATAATATACACACTGCAAAAGAAGGCACCGTGTTTATGGACTTGTCTTTGCTGTTTGGTGTTTTTCATGAAATTTTAAAAGCCCTGATTGCGAAAGCAGTGTGGAATCCCATGTTGACTTGAGGAAAAGGAAAGGCTATGCACATTATATTGTTCTTCAATGTAAGAATAAAGAATGTGAGTGGAAGTATAGTTTCAACACATTTAACAGTTGTTGAACAACTGGCCAATGACAACATGCTCAGCAATGCTATGCATGTTAAAGAGGAGAATGGAGCACCAGAATGTGGAATATCTTTGGATGGTACATGGCAAAAGAGAGGGCATGATATAGGAAAGATGCCGAAGACCACATATGTTGAACAAGACACTGTTGCTCTTGCTACATACTTGGCTATACTTAAATTTAATGATAAAACAACTCCTAGAATGTTTCCAAGTAAAGGGACTCAAGATTGTGATCATCATCGGATAAAGTTGTCGGCAAAGAAGAGCTCAGAGAAGGTGAAGAAGCAAAGAAAAACATTAAGAAACATTAGAAAGAATTATATTAACAATGCTAAACATAAGGAAGGAGTTACTTATGAAGCTGGCAATTTTTAGGGCTTCCAGAGGTATAATATAGGTTATGTAAACTTTAAATGCTGTTTTCTCATTTTAGGTGATTTTAGCACTTAGGAAAACTTTGTGACATCATATTATCTTTGTTATTTGTCAGAGATGCCTGAAATTTTGTATATTGAAGGCTAGTAATATTATCTAGTGCTTGACATTTTTCAAATTTTGAAATTTTGCATTGTTGATGAAATATTTACTCGTTATGTCATAAAATATGTACCAAAAATGCAAAATTACTGAAGAAAATCAAATTTTGGAATATATTTTTGTTTATAAAGAATTAATAAAAAATTGAAAAGTGTCAAGCACTAGATTATGTTCTAAGCTTTTAAAAAAAACTTTACTCATTGAATTTGGATCATTGGTTCCCAAGGTATCATGTTCACAGCGAAGTTAATTTATTTGCTAATTAGTGGCCGCCATGTTGGATAATTAGTGTAATTAGTGATTTTCTAATTTTTTTTTCCCATTAGTTAATTCTCTTCATTAAAGTCTTTCAAATACTGATATTTTCTTATAACTATCTTTAAAAATGAAAAAAATTCAATTTTTTGTATATGACCACCGTACGTCCACACAACATCTGCGCTATGACAAATCTCATGCCAATTGGAAAGATGAAACGATCGGATGTTGAGCAAGGACAGCCACAAAAAAGCCCAAAATAATTTTTTGAAAAATTCAGAACGTTGATGGTGAAACCATAGTATCTAATTTTCAGGCTACCTGACAAACATCACCGCTTTTATGTCGACGACGGCAAGCACAGAAACAAGATTGGCCATTTCTTGCAACTGTGCATGTCGTCTACGGCATTAAATCGGAAATATCGACAGCCAGTCGGAAAATTAGGATTTTTAGGTTTTTTATTTTCATGTTAAAGAAATTCCATGTTTTTTATTACAAAAATTTTCAATTAAATAATGTTGAAATTTGGGCATTTGATAGCGGCGTGGTTTTCTCCATCATTGCGATTGATTGCCAGTCGTGATGTTAGCAGGAAAACTCCCAGGAAAATGTTTTAGAAAAGGTCATAATATTGACTTTTCCATGGAAACAGGCGTTAGGCTGATGGATGCATTGCTCCAGAAGAGTGTTTAGCGTTTGCATTCTTTGTAGAGATGGTCTTTAGGGCATTAGAAGTCACGTATTTTTCAATTTCATCAAAGTATATTGTTCATTCTTGATCATTATTCAGAAGATTCTCATTAAAGTATATTGTTCATCTTGATCATTCTTCAGAGGACTCGTTAAAGTACGCTGTTCATTCTTGATCATTGTTCAGAGGATTTCATTAAAGTATGCATATTGTCCATTCTTGATCAGAAGGTTTCTACAAAGGATAATTAAAGCCAATGTCAGTTCACACTATACTTCCATAAATGAAAACATTGATAACATACTTATATTGAACATTTTATTTACTCGTAACGTAGTTCAAGGGAAGAAGGAACTGGTCGACAACAGCCACAATTCTCTTCAACCGCTGTGAACAACAACCAGTTTCTGTAATTGTAGAGTCCACGATCATGGTAAATACACCAACATTTGTTTGTTGTTTCTCAATCTCATTTGATGACTAATTGTCGCTTAAGAGAAGAATGTCCATGTCTAAAATCAAGCATAGAGGAAACAAAAGTTACTAAGACGAAAACTTTATGGAAAGGCCACACTGCACTTTGCATTAATGAACATCACATGTAGTGTCCCAATTCAATGTTTACTCAATGCAAAAGAACATGAAACAAGACATTTACCTGAACATTTTTCAAAGCACTCCAAGAGATATTTCACCTTGGAATAATTTCGACTTCGGCTAACTGTTCTGCTGTTCTTCGTGCAACTACAGACTTTCACGCACAAATGGCACGTTCTTAGTCTTAGACTATGGCCCAAGTTTCACGAACGTGTTGTATTCTGATTGGTCAGTGACTAGGCGTGTTGAAAACGTGTTGTGTTCTGATTGGTCATTTACCAGGTGTGACGTCAATTGTACATTGTGAAATTTAGAATTTGCATGATTCATCACTTAGAAGTAATTAATCCCCATAGAGCGGTAAATGCAATTTAATACAATATAAATAAAACGTATACTTCAGCTACAGCAAATAGCAAATTCCAAACATTTAAGTCTCCTTGGGGAACAACTTCAGCTGAATCATGCAAATTCTAAAGGTCCACTGATGTCAAAAATGATTTGATAAACCATCTAGATTGTATCTTCATCTCATTTTCTTATTGTATTTGTTAGCATTAACATTTGATCTCTTTTATTTAGCATTCTACAGGGTGTACATAAAAACGACGTTTGGCAATTAAACTACTGTAAAATTTCGAAACCCAATCACTGTGCTAACCTCACTAGTGCATTACATTTTCAATGGAGGAAAATCTTTTGTGCTTGCATAAACGTAGCTAACAATGTTCCATGCACCTGTGGGCTTGGCGTAGTGACAGACATTGAAATTATATAAAGGTCTTCAATGGTAAATGAAGGCTGACCAACTAGTTTTGCACACATCAAAGGAATGAACAGGATAGAAAAATATTATTGCAATGTATTTTTTTAATTTTTTCATTCTACTTTCAGCCGGTATTATTTGTTGTCCCTTTTAAAGAATTTTCAATCTCCATGCGACAATGTGAAAGTGTGTAAAATGAAAGACTATAGTCTTTGGTGTGAAAGTGTGTGAAAATGCAAAGACTATAGTTTTTGATGTGAAAGTGTATAAAAATGCAAAGAGTATAGTCTGGCATGAAAGTTTGTAAAAGTATAGTCTTTGACATGAAAGTTTGTAAAACTATAGTCTTTGGCATGAAATTGTGTAAAACTGCCTGAAATATAGTCTTTGGCATGAAAATGTGTGAAAATGCAAAGACTGTAGTAGACGGCAATGTATGCAGTTGATTACTTTCATGAACTTACCTTTAGTTTTAGGGACTATTTATATGAGCCCGATAGCCGTGATTCCGCGAACGAACATGTAACATGTAACATGTTCTTACACAAACTTTCGGCAGTTATTTCAGTAAACAGTAAAGATACAAACGATGGACATAAAAGCAGCTAATATTGGAGGCAACAATTCGCCAAGAGAAACCCGACCTTGTGCAACGAAAATTTCCGCAATGCCATTCTGTAACGGTCGTCATTTCGTTAACGTCTTTTCTGACTTCTTGAACGACTTTTTCAAAGAGCTTAGCAAAAAATAATCATGTATTTAACGTAAAGATCTTTGATAAACCAGCAATTGTCAAACCTCTGGTAAAAAAAACCCACCATGTACAACAAAAACTTCGGCAATGCCATGTTTCTTCGTCAAATTCTTTTCTGACTTCTTGAAAGACTTTTCCCGACAGCTTTGAAAAATGAATGAGGAATGAAGTATAAAGTTTGACTGAGGAAGAAGCAGCTGATATTTTAGGGTAAAACTGATATAAGTTTTGTAAAAACGTAACTCTTCAACGGCCATCTTCGTTTTTTCGAGTTTGGAAACGACTTTTTGCAACAGCTTCAAAGAAAGAATCATGTATTCAACAGGTTTAACTTGTTGTGATGTTATAAAATATTGTGAAAATGGTTTGCAAGGCGGAAAGCGAATTCTTAGTTTAAATATAATTGCCCATCATAAAACTTTTAATATGGCCATGGGTATATAATTTTATCAACAATAACGTTTCGTCTTTAGCTGAAGACATCTTCATATTACAATAGATACATGTAGGAAGTAGTAAATCCTATTCTTAGAAATTTTGTACAATACTTACAATAACGACTCTATGCGTTACCCTTCTTTGAAATAAAAAGGTTATATTACTCAATGTAATACTTTGAAACTTATAAATGAAATATTTTACGTAATACTTACGATAAAGATTGTTTCAGCAAGAAATCTCTTTACACATAGCGCGGAAAGATCGCCAAAAGTCATACGACGTATTGATCAAAATAGGTCACGTGTCAAGTGGTATAAACATTCACCAGCAAGAGCTGGGTGACGCGGTATGTGTAAATTGATCAAATCGTGCAGAGATAGCACAAAATTTAATAGCATAGTAGGTTTCGTGTGATGTATTTAAAATACGATTGCTTTCATTTCAAGTTAAATATTATGTTTTAACTTGTTAAAACCCTGTATGATGTACTATTATATAGTAGCAAATACTGACAAATTATATCTGTATATAACACATACAATAAAGAGTCCTTGAAGTTGATGCATCAGTAAATTCTTCTACTTTGTAGACATATTATATTTACATATACTGAACTATACGTATGTTATATATATACAATAAAAGTTATACAATTTCCATGCTCTGTTTTTTTTGACAGACATCCTACAAGTTTTACCTTTTAACCATTATGTGTAGAAGGAACAGTTTGTTTTGTTGTTGTCGTCGTTGAAACAGATGATACCGTTGAAGTTTGCCTGTAAAATATTTGCTGAAAGTTTAGGGAAAAATTGATAAACTATTCATGAAATAATAGGTAGTAGCATTTTCTTTCTAAAACAAGCCTAAGTTTGAGTTCTTTGTGTTGTATTATTACGAAATAAAAGATTTTTACTGTGTTTGCACAGGCTTATGCAAACCGAGGAGACCTTTGGGAGAACACGAGAGCAGATCAGTGCAAGCCCGAAACCGAAGGTAGAGTGTTGCACATGCTCAAGATTTCTCACAAACATCTCCGAGGTTTGCATAAGGCAGTGCAAACAGGAAAAATATCTTTTTAAAGAAATATCAATAATGCAAATAGACAAATTTAAAACAAACGATTTAATTTTTCCTCTAAAATGTATTCATGATTGATTTGCGAATTCTCTTTGATTGATTTGATTTGTTGGGCTCAGATCGGTTTGCAGAAGCTAATGAAAACACAGTTATAGACCAATCAGGGCATGCGCTAGATTGCTTTATGTTCTTGTTTTGACTTTCAATTTTTTCTGTCTATTCTTGCCTTACAAACATTAACACTAAAATATCGTTTAATATTCTGTATATTGAACAATAAATTACACTCAAACATGATGTAATTTATTCTTATCAATTGGTCAATCAGACCATAGGCGTCTCAAAAAATCATTTAGCTAGCTAAATAGATTAAACAAAGACATTAAACTCTCCTCATTTCATCGTAACAGACCGTGCACCGCAAACTTCTGTTTCAATGTTACGGTCTGTTGCAATGAAATGGGAGAGAGTTATCGTTGATTTATACAATTTAGCTAGCTATGTGATTTTTTTGGGCCACCTATGATCAGACCATACCGATAAACAACTATTTTCTCTTTGCATTTTTCTCTGCTCTAGGAAGTATATGTATAGGGAGGGTAGCGAGTGGAAAAACAATGGAATTTTTGCCTTGTTGGATGAGAATTTCCTTTGTAAATAAGGAAAATCCTTATTTTCAAAATCGTTCAACATTCGTGTAACGTCCAAGCGGCCATTTTGTTAGGTTACTTTAAAAAACCGATGCTCAACAGAACCTTGAAATCAACATAACTTTTTTAATACGTTATTAATATCAACTGGTACGTATAAATTGTTATTCCTTTATAGTAAATTGTCATCCATTATATAAATTATTCTGAAGGTCGTATACTGATAGAATGTTTCAACAGGATTGATGGAAATGGGGAAAGACTTATCGAACAGTTTTCTGGTTATTTTACAATTTAATTGTGTTTAAGTCATTGAACTAAATAGAACTATTTAATTCAATGTTTAAAAAATGGTTAAATGGTTATTTATTTTATGGTATAAATTTATTAAATTATTTTAGCACGTCACGTGACCTAACTTTGGTGTTTTTCAAAATGGCGGTAAATTTTGAAGCTCTTTGTAGTCGAAGACATACAAACCTTATTTATGTGAAAATGTGAGCCTTTTCATTTAGCTTTCGAAATATCAGTGATAAATATTCGCGGTGTGGAAATTGCTTTTCCGTTTAAGCCTTACGATTGTCAAATAAAGTACATGGAGAAGGTCATTCAGTGTTTGCAAGAGGTAAAAGTTTGACAATGTCGTAATTACGTAATGAATGCTGATTTATTGGAAAAAACGATTTCTGAGAAAACATTGAGTCAACAACGACCAGACTTGCATGTATTCATTCAAATTCAATGATTTCAGGGTAAGAATGGCATTCTCGAATCTCCAACTGGTACTGGTAAAACACTGTGCTTGCTCTGTGCAACATTGACTTGGCGTGACACATACAAATCACATTTGCAACTCAGCAACTGAATACCAAAGTACAACAGAAAAAAGCAAATGGCAGGTTTTATGAAAACTTAAAGGAAAACTTAGGTCAAGCCGCTATTGGTCAGATGATGATGATGGAAACCCAGGTTGGTTTTTTAGTTTGTGTTATTTTTCTTACTCTCCCAGTTTGACATATTCGTATTAAGATCTTCATGTTAAATGACCATCTAGACTGGAAGGTTTGTATTGGCACATAGAATGTGCAACTTTGAGAAAATAGTTTTACGTGTGCAGATTTTCAATCTCAGGTGTGCGGTTTACAAACTTTCTGTCTGTATGACTTTGTAAAGTTTCCACTTTGACAAATGGCTGATTGCTGAAGTTCCTGTTGTCATATTACATTGATATGTAAATATGTGTGTGTGGTAAATTACAGCCTATACAAATGGGAATTTTTGGGATAAGGTGCCTAAATAACCTCAAAGTGACCATGTATTGTGTGTAATTTGACAATGTTTACAAATAACAATTCACCTGTTTTCAGACTACGAAGTGCCAAAAATCATATATACCTCAAGAACACATTCTCAGCTTACACAGGCAGTTAAAGAACTCAAAAACAACATTTATAAGTGAGTATCAATTTTCCTGCATGCATTCTTGTCAGGCATCATATCTGAACTTCCAAATCTTGGTGCTGTTTGTTTTATTTTTAAACTATAGAATGATTCAGTCTAACTGTTGAGTTTATAAAGTAAATGGTTCGAACCCGGGAGTATTGTTACATGTTTGTAGATGTAGATCGTCCATGTTGGTAAGAAGCAGATAACAAATACGGCTAACCTGGCGTTTACTCTACATTTCACTCTGAAGATGACTACCGCAAAGGTTGTCGAAACGTCAGTCAACACCAACAAAAATAGTCTTTGTAAGGATTATACTAACCTGGATGATCTACATTTACAAACATGTTTAGTTTATGAAATGTTCATTAGTTGTTGCTTTTCTAGACCTAAAGTTTGTGTCTTGGGATCTAGATAACAACTTTGCATTCATCCACAAGTTGTACAACAAGAAACCCATTCTGCTAAGGTTAGTTAAAAGTCATTAGTCCAAGGTTGGTTATTAATTTCAGTTTACTCTCAATACTGCCATGGACATTTAATTAGCATTTATGTCTCAATTAAGATACTGTGGCCATCTGACCATTTTTTTATCAAGACACTCTGCCTGTATCCAAGAATTATGCTTAAATGTGCAACTCTCTGTATCTCTTCAAACTTTTCAGATGCAGTTGTGTCGTGCTAAAGTTGAAATCAAGAAATGCCACTACTATAATAATTTAGAAAAAGGTAAAAAGATTAAAAGAAACTATGAAAGAGTTTTTGGCTAAAAGAAACTATGTTGAACTGTGTTTTAAAATATCATCATAGTCCACAGTTGATCTTCTAGTTCAGTTGGTAGAACCATGAAGACAATGATTATCTTGTTATTATACCTGAGTACATCACAACAACGTTATGTTATTAACTATGATATTAAGGTATGAAAGAAACTAGAACTGTACTGTCTTCTTAAGTCCAGTGTGCGAATTAACGGTGTGCAATGTGCAATTTGCACATCGTTTTAGCTAAAATGAAAACAATTGCACATCACTTTTTCAAACGATTTGCAAAAAACGTCTTTATTTATTACTACCATATAAATTGAAAAAAATTTTCAAGCTTAATCTTTACTGATCTTTACTTTATGAGTGTGCTGCACGACATTAAAATCCATGTTGGCACAATGTCATCAAATTCAAAGACGTTGTCACTTTGAGACTTGGAGGTCTGTCAACAGTCAACATACATGGTGCTTATTGAGCTAAATACAACTGGAACGCTACCTTTTTATGAAGCCAAAAACTGCGGGAAATCACCTCTGCGGTGTAATGTAAGAGTAAATAAGATAACGTTCCAGTGAGGGATTTTAAACTCATTTGTCATTCCTTTAATGAAGCTCCCTACAGTTCAACTGAGATTCGGGTGTTTCGGGTAGCCTTCACTTACAACATTATTTTGATCAAACACACTCAAATTTGGAAATATGAACTTTGCAGGATAAGAATGACAGTAAAGTCTAAAGATGCTTGAATAGGATAACTGTTTGCGTTGTTGTGGCAACCATGTCTCATTTTCTTTTACACTTTTATCGTCTTGGTTTTTGGAATTCACGGTATCGCTTTTTCGGTTCAGTCAATATTTCTGATTTTTTGCTTGACGATTGTTATTATTCAAGAAGCATTTTGTTTAACAACAAAGTAATTCTTTCTATTTGAATCTATTTGAATTTCGTTTGCTCACGTGGTATGTAGGAGTGGGAACTGTTCATGATGTTGTTGAAGATATGTAAAAATAACTACATGAATCTTTCCTTTACAACGACGGAATCTGATTTCGAAAGTGAAGAGGAAGCAATCACCACAAGAGATTTGCAAGAAAATTCAAAGTGCACTCTGCCAAATTTGTATATATAGATGGAGTATTGTGAGAAGAGTACTCTAAGGATAGCTATTGACGAGGAATAGTACAAGGACCAACAGAGAATGTGGTTGATTCATCGTGAGATTGTGGAAAAGTGTGCTGTCTAATTGCAAAATTACCCGAGAAGAGAAGTTATTTTCTAGATTGGATCATAAAAATATTGTAAGGCAAGAAGAAGTTTATCTTCCAAAATTAATCAAAATTATATGACATAATGGTTCAAAGCGAGGTTCAATTTAGACGATACAAATTTCTTGGCTTATTAAATGTTATCTGTGTAGAAACTTGTAAGAAAGTAGATAATCCCTTTCTTTCATGAAGCCCATGGATACTTTTCTTCATTATGGGAGAGTCATATTGTATAAAGAGGCTCTCGTTCATCACGAGAGAGTTTGAGGAAGTTACATTGTAAAAGGTAACAAGTAAAAAATGTATAAACATGCTTAGAGTCGGTTTACGTTATGAATCAAAAAGGCAGAAATTGTTTGAAAATTTGCAATATCTTTGGATGTTCTAGTTTCCTTTTTGAGAAGAATTATGTTAAAGAAAAAAGATAAATTTTGAAAAAATGAAAATCCCGTTTTTGTTCTGTGCCTCCCGTTGCCCCGAGATATTTGAGCACTGGAATGTCTCATGTTAATTAAGGGAACCAGATAATCCTGTCAGTCTTGTAGCCCATGGATGGTTTGCACGTGATACGCGAGAAACAGTAAATGAGAGAGTTAAATCAGAAAGATATAAACCAATAAAAATTGTATAAAACATGTTTAAGGTTGTCTTAAATTATAAGTGCAAGAAAAAGGCACAGTGTCAGAAGAAGTTATTGAAACATTACTTGGTTTATTTTATGAACATTGGTTTATTTTGTAAACAAAAACATAAATTGAAAAGCAAAAAGACCTGTTTTCGGTCCATGCTTCCCGATACCCTCTTAAGCGTAAGGCACTAGAACGCCGCATGTTAACGTTTTGGTAGGAGATTTCGGCCCCTCCACGCTGTCCTACTTGGGAGATGCAATAGCAAGCTTCCGCCCATCAAACCACGAGATCACCTGCGATAGGCTTTGCTTGGGGTACGCAGGGAGAGTGCGGTCGTGACCGAAGTCTGGGCCCTAAGCCACTGCATACTATATCGCACCCAGCTTCCACTGCTAGTTAACATCTAGCGCATGCCCAGATGATTTCTCTATTATATTGTTACTAAGCGTGCAATTTACTTCAAAAGTGGTGCTAGTAGATGTAGTTGGTCGTTGCCATGACCATGAACTTTGGTGAATGGTAAAGTTGACTGCGCATGCTCATTGAGATCACGCATGCGCTGATGATTTATCTAAAAATTTATGTTAGATGGAGCTAATTACTCCATAATCGGTACTAGTACATACAGTTGGTCGTTGCCATCACCATGAACATGAAGTGTTGGTGCAGTAGACTACGCATGCTAAGATTAATTCTCAATTAATTTGGACCGAGCAAGCTCTGAAATTGTTGCTTATGAATTTGCTTAGCAATTTTCAATAAAAATTTTTTGGCACGCTGTTTGTCTTCTTAAGATTGTTTTAACAATTGCATATCAAACACATAAACACTTTGTTACGCCACTCGTAATATCTGTGACAATGTTAGAGATTTTTTTTTCTCCAAAACTTTGTATCTCCATATTTTGTGGATAAAAATCCTCTAACATTTATGACAGATTTTATAATTCAAAGATTGAAGTAGAAGAAATACTTGAAAATGAAACTTCCAACAGTGAAACAAAATCAAGAGTGACAGAGACGAAACGACGGCGCCAGCTTAAAGATAGCTTGATGAAATTGAACGTATTGAAGCACATAGTCTACGCTCGAGAGTTTTGGATGAGAACACGTTCACCTATGAAAACACCAATGATTCCAAGCATGTTGACGACGATAAAAACTCTAACGAGGAACATGCTCCAATACAAAAACAATCCGTTAATAACACAAAGTCTACTGAAGATTTGTTCAAAAGAAATATCGATGAATCACATATACAGTTTGGAAGCTCGTTGGCTCACGTGTTATATAGTAGTAAGAATTGTTCATGATGTTGTTGAAAATGTGTAAAAATAACTACCATGCTAGCGTCTGTGGGACAATACATGCACCATCGCCCCCACTGTGGGACGATACCATTGGACAACTCCCCCCCTTTCTCCTCCTGGTCTGTATTGGCGGAAATCTGACGCCATAAATCCCAACGTGGAAATCGTGACAATTTGTAGTATCTCAAGATGAATTTCCACTATTTAGGACTCTTCTTTTTCCTTTAAAATGGTCTTAACAAAATCTTATCTGCGTTACGTCGAAGCTGGAATCTTTGGCGTAGTGGGAAGTGCTAGAGCTAATGTGTGTCTTGTTCAAAGTGGCGAGAAAAGACGTGAAATTTGCCGCGCGATTGTTCCCGCACTAGAAAATGTATATATTTGGGACGCTAGACTTGGCGAAAAAGTATTAGAAGAGAATTGTTGAAACCTTAAAACAATGTTAGATTTTCCACTATTAAAATGTGTTTTTATGATATGCTTATCTAAATGTCTAGGTGAATGTCTTACAAGGTAACAAGAGCGAAGTTACATGTCTCTGCCTCAGTCCTAACTCTGAACATCTTGCTGTTGGGTGAGTAAAACAACTTATCTAATTAAATAATATAACATTTCATTATGTCTGGTAAATGATGCCGAATATTTACTTCATTGTGGCTAATCAACACTTTTAACAGTAAAAGGTATGGTTGTAAGAAACACAAGGTCAGGCAGGGGAAGGGGCTCAACCCCCCTGCTTATAAAAGCCAAATCCTGGACCTCCTAACTTATAAAAGCCAGATCTTACCCTTCACCCCTGTATTCTGAAAGATCTTGATATCCAGGAAAAAAATGTCAGTCAACCAGTACAGTATGTAATGTTAACAAAAATGAAAATCATTGGTGTACATTCCCCACAAGTCCCAAACTATTTTAATTTCTACATTTTTGTTAGACTAGATAAATTACATCCCTTTGACAACAGGTAATAAAATTTGCCAATATAAAATAATTTTCTTTGCTTTTGAAAACTGAACAGCTTTTGATCTTAATGTATGTAATAAATTTGCAGCTGCTTACAGGGGAAGAATGTAAAGCTTAACCTGCATCTATGCACCTCCACCTGCAGTTTATTTTTAAATTTTAGGTATGGCGATGGTGTCATCAGAATTTGGAATATAAATAATGGTACATCCTCAGTGACATTTAGGTACATTTCCTGTCATGGAATATATTTTTCAATTTGGTCTATGCTCAACCATTTGTTTACCATCTGTACTTCTGATTTCCAATTACTAAACGGTCCAGAACTCATTTCAAAAATTTTTCAGTAAACAAACAGTTAATATAACTCATATGACAAAAAAAAATATTTAAAATTTATTTTCTTGTAAGGTTTATCGTACAGTTGCTGCAATTGTTCAGCACGTTTTTGACTGGTAGGTTTGCTTCCCTACACTGCTTGGCAACATGGCCCAATCTTTTGCATATGTAGCAACGTCTTCCTGTTAAATATTCATAAGGAAGTTGTAGTTCATAACACTTTTTATTTGTTTGTGTCATTAGCTTATTTCTGTTAACAATAATGCATGCAACTTGAAGTTTTCAACCATCTAATCACGCTGATGTTTTATCACTAGGTCAATCAAACTTCTTCTCATACCATTAAACTCTATACAAAAAAAAAGTATATAATTGTCAATTACAATGGTCATGAAAGAAATGTTATTTCATTTTTTGTCATTACTTTTCTCGCATTCATTCATTTTGTGGCCTTTGTGGCCACAATTATAGCATCTTCCTTCATTGAAAAAAACAATGGCAATTATCAGCCTGGCATCAAAGGCAATTAGTACATGTATATACTATACCATGCCTTTAAATGAATTTTTTGCTTTGACATTGCTTTCTACATAAACAAATCGTTTGTTAGGTGCTGTTTGATTTGTTATGTGTATGATTAAATTTCAGGTTAAAAGACTCATGGTGAAAAGACTCATGGTGAAAAGATTCAGGTGAAAAGATTCAGGTGAAAAGGCTCAGGTGAAAAGACAAAAGTATCATGAGAAAGCTGATGGGCATATATCATATATGAATGAGAACAGTATTGTATACAAAGCACTGTTTACCTTCTTTATTTTTTTGGTTTTCAGAATTGGAGCCACCTCAAATAGTAGCAGATTTTTAGCACATTTTGATGCATTGATGTATTGTGTAATAATGCAAAAAACAATCATTAAACAGTATAACCATTTTTGGCTAAATATACACTTGCATTTTCGTTATCTTTCTCTTCAGTTTCCTGACCTGTTTTGAATGCAATTGAACTATTTGAGTGATTTTCAGTTTTCAAAACAAAAACAAATTTTATACACATTTGATACCAGTGTCCATTGCTTTTTCCTCATCTGTGTAATCTAGCATCTGGTGTTTTTGTATGCAAAAAACGATAAAGTGTAAATAGATATTTTGCAAGAAGGGATTTAAACCATGTAAATGAAATAATTTCATGAATAGAACTTTCATTTCAGGCAAAAAGATCGAAGACTTCTGGGGACCTTCCAAGACGATTCTTGGTGACATGAGCTTCCTAAAAAGTCTACACACTTACGATAAGGTGATCTCACTTTTTTCTAATGATGTTATCTTTGCTTACTCTTTCTGAGAGATTTCAAACCCGAAAATATCCCATAGGATAACATTGCACCAAGCATTGTGAAAACCATCCGTCAGAAGTACACCTCGAATCCGGAATTCGATCCCGATAAGATCAAGACTGCGTCCACTGCTGCCGAAGGCTTGTGTCAATGGTCATTGCGATGGATCAATATGATAAGTAAATGAAGTATTTACTTGTTATTCAATGTTCATTATAAAATAAAATCAATGCAACGCATGCGCTGATTGCATAAGCGTGTGAGCTCCGTTCGATCTGAGCTCAATCAATCAAATCAATCAAAGAGAATTTTGCAAATGGACCATGAATTTTCAAATCTTTTAATTCGTTCAACACTCCTTCCATTCTCTATATAGTAATCACATACATCACATTATTTAACTCAAGGCCGGATTTAAGGTGCGTGGAGGTCTGGTTGTTAGCCTTCTCAGGATATGTACGTCAATTGGAGGTGGGGCAATATATTAATATATTCAGCTATACTTGGCTATTATCTTTTGAAAACAATTTCAGTTTCAAAAGAAACCAGCCTGGCATAGCTGAATATATAAATATGGTCCTCTCTATTAACGTTCGATAACCCTGTGAACATAATTACTTAACATGTGATTTAAGACTTTTAACGAGTATACTAATAAATATCAACAAATACTGCATACACTAGAGTCTATTATAAAATAGCCCATTAAAAACCTGTGCTCCGATTGGTTGAATTCTCCTCAAATTCATGGTTTGTCGGATTTCATTTGACAGATAACGGAAATGTCTCATTTTCTACAGTTCTACTTAAGAATTTATATTTCGATTTCGAGTTTGTGGCGTGTGTTTGGCAGTGAATGGGAAAAATTCTACGTTTCAAGGGAAGGTGGGAAACATGTCAGGGGAAAAGCGATCCTAGGAGACGTGCCCACCTCCCCGCGCCTCCCCTTAAAATCTCGCCTTGATTAAAATATAAAATAACTTCAGCAGAAACTGTTAATATTTAAGATCACATCGTACCTGATACAACACCAAAACAATCAAAATTATCGGAACCAAGGAACTTCCAATTTTAGCCTGTGAAAAAGAGCAAATTTACGATGATTCCATGATAAAGATACTTGGTCACATATAACTTTAAATGAGTATCTTCTGAGACAGTCTCATCTCATCGTAAAACAATGACGAAAAATCACTATTAGTTCAAAAATAAAACGAACATCTAGCAGTAAAAAATTATGTCTCTTACAATGTATCTCCATGGATCTTTTTAATGTATCTTTAATTTCAAAATGTATCCTAATGTATGTTAAAGTTCTTACACAATGTATGCTGATGTATGTTAATGTATCTTACATAATGCATGTTAATGTCTCAATGTATCTAAATGAATTTTATAAATTATCATAGCGTATTTCAAAATTGCTTTTAGTTGTATCTTTATGGATCGTTAAACGATCTAGTGTTTAACATGTACCTTGATGTATTTACCTTAAAGTTGCTCATAAAATGCACAACCGAGTTGTGATTTGAGTTTCTGTAATTCATTTCATATTAAAGTAAATGGTTTGAACCCGGGAGTATCGTTACATGTTTGTAAATGTAGATCGTCCAGGTTGGTATAGTCCTGAGAAGGACTGTTTTTGTTGTTGTAGACTGACGTTTCGACAACCTTAGCGGTAGTCATCTTCGGAGTCAAAAGTCAGAGTCAAATTCATTTTGACTCTGAAGATGACTACCGCTAAGGTTGTCGAAACTTCAGTCAACAACAACGAAAACAGTCCTTCTCAGGACTTTACCAACCTGGACGATCTACATTTACAAACAAGCCATTTCATATTAAATAATATAATCTCATACCTTTGCACATGTCAGGTAAATTTTCGACAAGAGAAAGCTCCACAAATCCTGCAAACAAATTATTCCTGCGGCGACAATGCAAATATGTGGCATCCATAAAAACTTAAATCTCAACGTAGTTACGGCCATAAAGGTAAAGAAGAATGTTTGTACATGATGATAAACGACTTCAGGACGTCTTTTCAACGAAGTATGAACATTTTTCCACCATGAAATAAAATCATTACCACTAAAAAAGAAATGTAGTATGTTGTTTTTTTTTTTCAAGTGAGAAAAATTATCGGTATTTAACCCTCACTATAGCCCTTTCTATCCCTACAAGTACAGTCTATATGTTTTGTATAGTACCAGCATTAAAGGCAGTCGATATGAACAAGGTGATAACTAGTGATATACTGACATCGATATCTGCGTACCGTCTCCAAAACAGAATAACGCCATTGGTATTTTTCGTTCTCATTGCTCATAATACCGACATTTAAACATTGCATCGAAATAGAAATACAATTGAAATTAATCATAGTTTAACAATACTAAATATATATTACCTTAACAATTTTTGTTAAATTAATACTACTTTAAACTTTTTAGTTCCACATGATATCAATTTCCATTGACAATTGGGTTGTGTTGTGAAATATGGCTGCAGTGTAAATAACCGCTTTGAATTTTATATTTTTTTATGAAATGAACAGTCAATGGTGAGCATAAATTGGCATACTTTATGATGCTTAAGTTTTGTAAAATGGCATAAAATATCGGTATTGGCACAATATCGGCATTTAAATATCTGCTAATTGTTATAACGCTAAATATGTATATTGGTGCATCACTAGTGATAACACTTTAACATTTCTCTGAACCCAAGAATACCAGCCATGGACAATACCAACAAGTCATTATGTACTTGTAATCAAAGCTCCAGGTACTGAAACATAAATTCCCTCTTTGTTTTACAAATCAATGTTCAAAATTGCAAATGATCAACGATAAATTTCAAATGTTAAAATCATGATCATGTTTTAATCGAGTAAGAACTAGTCAGAATGTAACAAAAATACAGGTATACCTCCATTCTTCAAGAACACAAACAGCCAGTAATGTAAAACCAAAGACCACAGCAAATACATAACAAGGAAAGACCACATCCTCAGTCAAATGCCAGTATGTGTCCACAGGTAGCATACGAAATGACATCTTACATAAGTACAGCATAGCATCAAAATCTCTTTACAACTGACAAAAAACACAGTTGGTTAAGATGGTTGTATATGATACAAACAAGGTTTGCTGGACACATTTTTTTAGCAATCAAGCCAACTTTGTCTCTCATTATCTAAACACAAGTAGAGATGGATTTACTATCAAAGTTGCAGTAGGGTCATACCCATCTTATCAATAGCAACACACTCAAAGTTGCTTTCAAAATCAAATCTAAACCAAAGCATGCCCTATACAAATTCCTCTTGGATCAACCTCTGGCTTATACATCCAGGAGTCAATATCATTTAGTCATATTTTAAAACCCTCCTTAAGGTTTCTCAAAACAATGATAAAGTCATAAAAACCAATGAAATGAAACATTTGCAAGTTGTAAATATACAATAATGTAACAGAATGCAATAACAGTGCCTGCCATAACTCAATGTAAATTTTAAGTAGATTTTTCTTTGTCTTTGGTGACCCAATTTACAATTCAGCATTTGCATGACATTGCCAAAATTATGAACACTTTCAAAAGTACCATGTTTTTGGCTATGTGCATGTGTGCAACCAGGCAATGATTCAACAAAAAAAATATCTAACAAATTGAAAAATATAAGTCAATTGATTTCATCAACTTTTGGTTCAAAATGTATTTGTGCTGAAGCTAACAATCAACAAAATTGAGGAAATTTTTTAAGCATATTAATAATAAGTAATTGCATCGTTTTGAAAACATGGACTTCTAAGTTCTTCTCATCCTTCAGACTCATGCTGTTTTGATTTGATAGTTAAAAACACAAGAAACCATGCTATTACCTACGTGCAAATTTATTCATCATTTTAACTCATACCTTGCTAACTTTTGAAATAACCAATTATGATGCAACTGTTAACACCAATCATTTAATGATCATGTCATTCATGAACTGGAGAACAAAGACAAACAACAGGGAACCAATGATTACAAAGGACATATTTCATAACTAAAATGAAAGTATTCACATCATTTTGTTGATAAGATAAATGCTGATAATCATGATATATGTTTATGTTTCAAAACACATTTATGAATGGCGAGTAATACCTTCTTCAACTTATGAAGTAACCATCCTTGCTCTAAATTGCTTTTGTTAAAGCATTCACCCCCTCCTGACTCTGTCATAAAATAACCACCCCTCCTACCAGGTGCTTCTGTAAAAGTTTTCTTTCCATGAAATCTTTTCAATTTTTTGCCACTTCAGCAATGCATTTTTGTAACGTTTGTTTCTTCTGCAATTTGTCAGCTGCATGTTTCACAATGAAAACTAGATGCGAACTTTTACTGTCAAGCAGATGAATTTTTATGATATTTCAAAGAAACCAACAACAAGTTCACTGTCAAAATTTGAAATTATGTTGAAATCAAGTAATTTCCATTTGCAGCCATCATCTTTTTAATCTGTATGCAAATCAAATGAAATCTCCATTTGAATTTAATGACAACACAACAATGAACAAATGGTCAAATTATTAACAAGCATTTGTTAACTCAATACACATTGTTTAATGTATCAATGCTCATATGTAATTCATAGCTTTAATGGAAAGTCATGTACATTTAGAAATCTCGACGAATCGGTCAATTTGACAGTTTCCTCAACTCAATGCTCAACTCCATCCTCTCTGTCATTAAAATTAAACCAAGAACAAGTACACCCCCCCCCCTCTCCCTCACCTGAATATGATAAAGTATGAGATACTTTGTGTCGTTCTTCTTGCATACTAACTAATCATGACACAGTCTTGATTGTCATTCAACTCAATAAATGTTGAAAAACACAGTGCAAGAGTGTGTAAAGACGACATTTAAATGTAAAAAAGATCTCCCGATCATGATACGGGGATTTCCGGCTGCTAGACTAGGCCTACCACGCATGCGCCATATTTCCGCCAAAACTTGAAATGTGATACAAAACATTCAAAACCTACGGTGAACGTTGAATATTTACTTGGCACTTGGTGTGTATGATTTTAAAGAGCAATAAACGTCTGAATTCAAGTTTAAAAAATTGAAACATTTGGAAACGTTCTACATCAAACAAAGTTTTATCGACAATTTCAAGTTGCTTCGTCTCTGGATTGAAGTAGGTTGCAATGATGAAACGTATTTAATTTGAACGATGGAACTTTACTTTTTAATTATATTAGTTCAATGTTGTTATCTTCATTAAATTTTTTTTACATGATGTACTTTAACTGTATTTGAGTGATTTCACTACATATCAGATTATGAAATATAATTGAAACCTTTAGATATTCTCCATCATTTATAAGGAATCAAATATGTAGAAACATGATACATTAGAAGTTTTTAAAGGTTATTATGACATCATCTATGCACAGCTTATTTACTGTGAATGCTCGTTTTAACGCTGCGGCTCTTATTAGTTCCCTTATGTTCGCCGTCCATAAGCGGCGGTAAAACAAACACTGTACTAAAAAAATATAAAAGCTCATATTGTGTGACAATTTATGCGGGTTGGGGCAAGATTGATAATTGAAGGAGAAGGTATTTATATATTGGTATGTTTTAATCTTTTGTTTAATCCATACCCACAATTGATTTCAATAGAAGCTACTAAGGTAGGACATGCATATATGAGTATTGTTAGATTTAGAGGTTTTACCGAACATCAGATAGAATCATAAAGGAGTTTGACAACATAACGATTGACAATATATTTTAACATAACATGTGCTCTCTTCTATATGGCAGAACAACAACGATATTACGTAACAGTAGTCACGTGGACTCGTAATATACATAAATGATTATTATAAATATGTTTCCCTTCTAACACTCCCACTTAATAATCATAGTATATTTAACAAATTTAACTAATAGTGTTCATAGATAACATAGTTCTCAAACTTCCATAAGTCCCAGTTTGCTTCTACATTTTTCAAAATTAACTTTTGTTAATCCTTTAGTCATTACATCCGCTAACATATCTTCAGTTCTACAATACTTGATAGTAATGTTCTTTTTCTCAACTTGCTCTCTGACGTAATGATACGATATATCGATATGCTTTGTTCTATTATGAAATTTTGGATTCTTAGTTAATTCAATCGTTCCTTGATTATCTTCATATAGGATGGTGGGGCAATCTTGTTTCTTTGAAATATTTTCCAGCAATCTTCTTAACCAAATCCCTTCCTGGCTAGTAGTACTCAGAGCAATGTACTCCGCCTCCGTTGTCGATCTTGCTACACATCCTTGACGTTTACTACACCAACTTACTGTGTTACCTTGTACTTGAAAACGTATCCTGTTGTTGAACGTCGAGTTGTAATGTCTCCTCCCAATCTGCATCCGAATATCCTGTCAAAATCGTGCTTGCATTTTTAGCAGTATAAACCAAGCCATAATTCAAAGTTCCTTTAATGTAACGAAATACTCGCTTCACTCCTTTCCAATGCTGTATACTAGGATTAGACATAAACTGAGACAGTATGCTGACGGCTGTGGACAAATCTGGTCTACTGATTGTTGCTGCGTACGTTAAACAACCAATTGCCTTTTGATAGGTTCGTCTATCAAATGATTCATTTTCATCTGACAATTTTTCATACTTCTTTCCTGTTTCCAAGGGTGTTGAAACAGACTTACAATTCTCCATCTCAAACTTCTTGAGCACACCTTCTAAATAATTTGTTTGAGTAATAGACATTGTTCGAGATCCTCGATTTCTTAAAATTGTCATTCCAAGGATGTGGTGCAGCTCTCCTAAATCTTCAATTTGAAATTTCATTGCCATCGCTTTCTTTTCTTGTTGCAACATCTTAACATCATTTGAAAAGAACATCATATCATCAACATATATCGCTACAATTACGAACTTAATTGTACGATCTTTAGACTTCACTGATTTGATGTAGATGCAGGGATCAGCGGTGCATTTCGTATAATCATTGGATAACAGATAAGTGTTAATCGCGTTATTCCAACATCTCGCTGCTTGTTTTAGCCCATATATGCTTTTCTTTAATCTACAAACGTAATCTGGTCGTTCTTTATCAACAAATCCATTGGGTTGTTTCATATAAATCTCCTCTTCCAGATTTCCTTGTAAGAATGCAGTTTTAACATCGACTTGGTGGACTTCCCAGTCACAAATGGTGGCAACTGCAAGTAACGATCTTATCGAACTATATCTTACAACAGGTGCGAACACTTCTTCATAATCTATACCTGGTGATTGAGTGTAGCCTTGTGCTACCAGTCTACCTTTAAATCTTTGGACTGTTCCATCAGATTTTCTTTTGACTTTAAACACCCACTTACTACCAATCACATTTTTCTTTTCGGGTGGTGGTACAAGATCCCACGTATCATTCTCGATTAATGATTTGTATTCCAACTCTGTAGCTTTCTTCCATTCGTTACTGTTCTTTCCATTCCATGCTTCAGCGATAGCACTTGGCTCATAAATATCTGCGGTTAAATCTTCTCTGCAACTATATAATTCCTCATCAAATCTTTGTGGTGGTCGCCTTTCACGTCGTGGATTGATATTTTCCACATCTCTTAGAAAGTTATCTTCATACGTGGCTCCCACTGGACGATTACATGGTATTGGCACATTGTCTTCAGGATGATCCACTTCATTTGCAATTTCTCCCGTATGGTTTTCTGTATTGATAATTGCCTCGATTTCAGTAGTCTTATTAGTTGTGAGAGGAACATCTTTAACAAACTTATGGAATACACTCTCACGAAAGACGACATCCCGACTTCGGATAAACTTTTGACTGAGCACATCAAACAATTTGTAGCCTTTCGTCCCTTCAGGATATCCGATGAAGATACACTTCTTTGATTTCTCTGAAAATTTCTTTCGTTGACTTGCAGGCACGTGGGCGTAAACTAGGCATCCAAATACTCTCAGATTAGAAACATCTGGTTTCTTATTGAACAAGCATTCAAACGGTGTAACTCCATTAAGTGATACCGTCGGACTTCGATTTCTCAGATAGACAGCTGTATTCACTGCTTCTGCCCAAAATTGTAACGGCATATTACTGTGTGATAACATTGATCTGGCTGATTCAACAAGTGTCCGATTCATTCGTTCCGATACACCATTCTGTGCGGGATTATACGGCACAGTAAGTTGATGTGTAATTCCTTTCTGCTTAAGAAATTCTTTAAATTCTTTGGAACAATATTCCCCACCATTGTCTGTCCGTAAAACTTTAACTGAACAACCAGTGATGTTTAAAACCATTGCATTAAATACTTTAAACTTCTCCAATACTTCATGTTTGTTCTTAATGAAATAAACATAAGTGTACCTTGAAAAATCATCAATAAAAAGAACAAAATACTTTGAACCACCAAGTGAATTTGTTGACATCGGTCCACAAACGTCACTGTGCACCAATTCAAACGGTTTAATTGCACGCTTTGCTTCCTTTTGGGATACTTGGATTTATGATGCTTACCCATAATGCATCCCTCACATGGAGATTCTTCCTTAGGCGTAGTATCCATGCCAATAACCATATTATCATTCAGCAGTTTTGAAACATTGTTCATTCCAAGGTGACCAAAACGATAATGCCATAACATTAATTTATCATCTATTGCAACATTCACATAGTTACCTTCAATGATTTTCAATACATACAGTTTTTCCAGCATTATACCACTTGCCAACAACTTTTTACCTCTAAAGATTTCACATTGATCATCTTTGAAAGTAACACACGCTCCAAGCTTTATCATGGCTCTTACAGAAAGCAAATTCCTACCTAGATCTGGTACATACAACACATCTCGCAAACTTATCTTCTGAGGTCTTTCATTTGCATCAGCAATAATACGGCAAACCCCTTTACCATATGCAAGAATACTTCTATTATCTCCAAGATTAACAATTGATGGATTTGAAAATTGAACATATTCAATCAAATTGCTCTTATTATAGGTCATGTGCTGTGTGGCACCTGAGTCGATAATCCAGCTGTTATTATTCCATGAACTTGAGGTATACAATGCTTCGTCTTCCACCATATTATCATCATCTTCTTTCTCTACACACAGATTCACCTTTCTTTCTTTCATTACTTTTCTTGTTCTTGTCGTCGAGGACCTTTTTCTTTGGACAGTCACGAGCAAAATGCCCTCTTTCATGACAGTTGTGACACTTCCCTTTAAATACATATTGTTGCTTTCCTTTTCTCATATTTCTTCCAGCAGCAAATGCTCCTTCAGGATCCTTTCCGTCTTGTCGTCGATCAACATCATTTAACAACATGTTTTTCACTTTGTCGTAAGATAAGGAGTCATCACCTATTGCATCCAGGGCTGTAATCAAGGGTTTGAACTCTTCAGGCAAACTCGCTAAGAGTGTCATTGCCAGTTCTTTGTCATCAACTTCTACCCCATTTCTTTTAGCTGGTCATGCAATGTTCTTAAGTGACTAATATGCTCCAACATGCTTTCTCCTGAACGATAACGGCAAGCGTAGTATTGTTGTCTCAATCTCACTTTCTGTAACAGAGATTCTCTAGCAAATTGCTTCTTTAGAGCGTCCCATGCTTCTTTTGCAGTTGTGGTATGGCGTACATGAATTTGATATTCTGGTTCGATAGCCAGACAGATGTGAGTCCATGCCTTCTTCGCATTACGCGCAAAACTCTGACGAACTTCGGCACTTTCCGACGTAAGTTGAGCAGTACCCTCAGCATGTTCAAACAGATCAAGGCTTTCTAAGTATAAACGCATGTTAAAAGACCAGGTCCGATAGTTCGACCCATTTAACTTCGCAAATTTGAACGAATTCAATTCAGCCATATTGACTTTATATTCGACCGCAAAATACTTATAGAAATATTTTATAAAATCGTCGACTTGTTCGATTCACATGTAGACCATAGCATTCTGGGCCCATAACCTGTTAGATTTAGAGGTTTTACCGAACATCAGATAGAATCATAAAGGAGTTTGACAACATAACGATTGACAATATATTTTAACATAACATGTGCTCTCTTCTATATGGCAGAACAACAACGATATTACGTAACAGTAGTCACGTGGACTCGTAATATACATAAATGATTATTATAAATATGTTTCCCTTCTAACAAGTATTTGCCCCCCCCCCCCCAAAAAGAGAAGTAATTGTGATTCAGTTCTTTATCCTGTGATGTAATTCTAACTTTTCTTTTTAGTTGGAGGTCACAGCTGTAGACACTGTCCAATGCTTGTTTGTACGAATCCTTGGGAATGTCCACGTTGTGGTCGAAAGTACAGTAGTGAAGACTATCTAAATGTTCACATGAAAAATGAATGCGGAAAAAATCCACCATTAAAACGACATGTGAGGGTTCAGACAGGAGAGAAACCTTATCATTGCAAACATTGTGGTAAAACATTTTGACAGCTTTCTAAATTGAATAAACATGTTAGGATACATACTGGAGACAAACCTTACCAATGTGAAAATTGTGGTAAAAGATTTACACAGCTTGGTACCTTAAAATGTCATTGTATGATACATACAGGAGAGAAACCTTATAAATGTGAACATTGTGGTAAAAGATTTACACAGCTTGGTAACTTAAAACGTCATGGTATGATACATACAGGAGAGAAACCTTATAAATGTGAACATTGTGGTAAAACATTTTCACAGAATTGTGATTTGAATAAACACCTTAGGATACATACAGGAGAGAAACCTTATAAATGTGAACATTGTGGTAAAACATTTACCCACAATAGTGCCTTGAATAAACACCTTAGGATACATACAGGAGAGAAACCTTATCAATGTGAACATTGTGGTAAAACATTTACCCACAATAGTGCCTTGAATAGACACGTTAGGATACATACAGGAGAGAAACCTTATGAATGTGAAGATTGTGGTAAAACATTTTCACAGAATTGTGATTTGAATAAACACCTTAGGATACATACAGGAGAGAAACCTTATAAATGTGAACATTGTGGTAAAACATTTACCCACAATAGTGCCTTGAATAAACACCTTAGGATACATACAGGAGAGAAACCTTATAAATGTGAACATTGTGGTAAAAGATTTACACAGCTTGGTAACTTAAAACGTCATGGTATGATACATACAGGAGAGAAACCTTATAAATGTGAACATTGTGGTAAAACATTTTCACAGAATTGTGATTTGAATAAACACCTTAGGATACATACAGGAGAGAAACCTTATAAATGTGAACATTGTGGTAAAACATTTACCCACAATAGTGCCTTGAATAAACACCTTAGGATACATACAGGAGAGAAACCTTATCAATGTGAACATTGTGGTAAAACATTTACCCACAATAGTGCCTTGAATAGACACGTTAGGATACATACAGGAGAGAAACCTTATCAATGTCAACACTGTGGTAAAACATTTACACAGCTTTGTAACTTAAAAAGTCACGTAATGATACATACTGGAGAGAAACCTTATCAATGTGAACATTGTGGTAAAAGATTTAATAAGTCTAATAGTTTTAAAAGACACATGAGGATACACACAAGAAAAACCTTATCAATGTGAACATTTTGGTAAAACGCTTAATAAGAAGAGTAACTTGAAACAACACGGTAAGATCTATGCTCGTAAGTAACATTTATGATATTAATACTGTGGCAAGGGATTTACAAAGGATTGATTGAGAGTAAGGCTGACAAGAAGGAGGCCTTGGCCCTTCTAATCTTGTGAAGGACTGCCATCATGAAAAAATGAAATCCTTAGAGAAATTATGATGGAGGTAATCAGTGACGAAATTAGCCTGATCTTTTACTCCCACAATTCAAATATTTCGATGTCTTTACAAAATTGGTTCATTTTATTGTCTTCCGGTGATTGAACACAAAAATATTTACATTGTAGCAGTGAAAACGTGCTGGCTTTGCTATTGGGGTCACGTTTTCATCCCACCATGTAATTTAATATTATATAAATAACTATTTTATATAAATCCCTCATTACTTGTAATTTACTACTGTCTGGTGAAACCTTGAGAGTCAAGACGAAACGTTACGCTAATGAATAAATATTTCTTTTTTATACATTATTTTTGTATTGAATGGCTCTTTTAAGAGCACTTTGCTGTGCGAAGCTCGTTGTTCATGGGATTTTGAATTGCCCGATATCATAAATAAACGCTAGGATGATTGGTATTCGGGACTTCCACCGCATGAACAACTGTTTCTGCCGTTCCCTTTCATGCCTTTGGCCATGCAAGCAAAGTTGAGGTCAGCAGCAGTATATTCAGTTGTTGAGCAGGAGAATGAAATAACCGAACGATTGGTATGTGCAATATCCAGGTTGACAAAACGGGATCTGTCAATACCTCGCTTGGAATTGGTTGCTGTACACATGGCCGTTAACTTGCTATCGAATGTAAAGTGTGCCATTAGTGAAGGAGTCGTAACCTCTGTCCATTGCTGGTTGGATTCCACAGTAAAACTTTACTGGATCAACCGTTGTGGGAAGTATCGCCAATTTACAATTGTAAAACTGTTAATGTACCATGTACGCCCCATGTAAAATTAAAGGTAGAGCAGGAGATAAAGCCTAAGAAAAGTGTACACGTAGTGGCTGCAGAAGTTCAACTGACCGTCTTTATGAAAGTTGGAATGAGTTACCCGAGAAAGAGGCTAGTTATGCATCCTTATAATTTGTGCACAGCGATTTTCTGTTTTGTTATGTAGAGATTTCTATGTTACGTCAATCTTTTTTCCCTGTAGTAAACCGCGTTTTAAGTAACTGTAAATTTTATATAATCACTTTCATTTTTTCTTTTAAACCCTATTTTATTAAAAATTCCTTTTAGAATAGTTCTGGCTCCGAATCTCAATCGGAAAAATGACGATAACAACGAAATCTAACTCGACCGTTGCGCTAAAACGAGCTGTCCCATTTGGTTTTCCTTACGGGGTATCTATAACACACTGACTGTAAAGCAGAAGATTGATATCTGGACTGTGTTAAATGTTGTCAAAGAAAATATTGAGAGAAGCTTCCGTTAAACAGGTGCGTAAAATTTAGGGAAGTGTGTTCGTTTATCTCAATAACGTTTGCATAATTTTTTAGTGTGTTAATTTTTCGTTTGAAAATTCGCACCCATCTTGCATTCTCTCTAGATCAGGCTAGGAGAGGTTTGCACTTCTCCCTTATTCCTTTCCTGTTTATTGTCCTTATCATGCATACAAACTAAGTAAAAAGACGAGGTTAGGAAAGGTGTGCACTTCTCCAAAACCCGTCCCTATTGGTTGTCCTTACAATGCATACAAACTAAATAAAAAGACGAGGCTAGGAAAGGTGTGCACTTCTCTCCTAAACTCGTCCCTAAGTGTTGTCCTTGCCATGCATACAAACTAAGTAAAAAGACGAGGCTTGGAGAGGTTTGCACTTCTCTCCTAAACCCGTCCCTATGTGTTGTCCTTGCCATACATACAAACTAAATAAAAGACGAGGTTAGGAAAGGTGCACTTCTCTCCTAAACTCTTCCCTGTGTGTTGTCCTTACCATGCATACAAACTAAGTAAAAAGACGAGGGTAGGAAAGGTGTGCAGTTCCTTCCTAAACCCGTCCCTGTGTGTTGTCCTTACCATGCATACAAACTAAGTAAAAAGACGAGGTTAGGAGAGATGTGCACTTCTCAAAGTAAAGATTTTTTCATGTTTCATATGTATTAAAAGAATTGCATAAAATCATTAAAAATATGCACACCATATTGTTTTGTTATTATATTACTATGATTACACAGCTGAAAGTTTCAAGCAGTTATGAAAAAAATAGCTGTCTTATACTTATTTACCATATTGTTATTTAGATATTACATGAAGCAGATTTAGATGGAGACGATCAACTATCTTTTGCCGAATTCGAAAACGTCATGTCTAAAGCTTTAGATTTTCTTAGGTGAGTTTATTGATTTTACATCCACTTTAACTTGTGTTATACACTAGCTGCTCATTTCTGTAAAATTTTCCATGCAATAGTCATTTAATTATTTTAATATTAGTAATTGTAGTATAGATAGCTATACTACGTTGTTTGACTATACTTATCTTCATTTGATATGATTCAATGATTTCAATTGGATGTGAAATGTAGCAAGCCAGTCTATTCTTTTACTGTTTGTAAGTTGAAAATAATTTTATTCCCCAAATAAGCATCCAAATGAATAGAAGTGAATAATTTTGCAAGTTTAAAGCATTTCCATAGTCTAATACTCATTTCGGACTTGTAAATTCTCTTTTTTAGAGTATTTCGTATTCGATTGTAATTTCAGCAGAATCATGGATGTTTAAAAACATTGAATATGGTTGATTCAAAAGGTGCTTTACAGTACAATGTATCATATAATAACTTCTACTTTGAACATTTTAGCATGATCTAATTAATGGCTAATGGAAACAGCAAAGCATAATTATTTAACATTTATAAAATATTACTCGTACATAACTGTATTACTGTTGCAGGTAGCGAACCTGCAACAGTAACCTGCAACGCGTGTTTATATAACTCTACAGAATATTGGAAATGTTTTTCTATTTCTTAAATGTAACATATTCATTCAACAAGAACATTTCAAACTGTTTTAATCTTTGCTACTAGCTTGCTAGTCTGATGTTATAACAAAAGGTGCTAAACTACTCATATCAATTTTTCACCGCCAGCAATATAAGTTTATATGAGACCCAGAATGTAGCGTTATATGAACTGAGACATTGTCTTGTGCACATTGAATTATCATTTAATACTTTATAACGCTATTATTCCTATGAAGAAGTAGTTCTCAAATTCTTATATTATCATTCTAATGATATACATCAATAAAACTGCAACGCAAATCCGCGCAAATAATTTTTATTTATCTACAAAGTTAGCCTTGAGTAATCACTTCTTCACTTTTTGAGCAGTACCAATATTACAATTGTTTACCTTAAAATAAAACAAACAAAGCTACATATTGAAGAATGAAACGAAAGGTTGATGAAATTAAAAATAAAATATCAACGTCAAGCTGAAAAGCAAACTGCAATACTACATGAACGTGAGAGTGAAGAAGTCTTATTATTGGTCACATGGTGTAAGGATGGTCACATGGTGTAAGGTTGGTCACATGGTGTAAGGTTGTTCATATGGTGTAAGATTGGTCATATGGTGTAAGGTTGGTCATATTGTGTAAGGTTGGTAATATGGTGTAAGGTTGGTCACATGGTGTTAAGGTTGGTCATATGGTATAAAGTTGGTCATATGGTGTAAGGTTGGAAAAAAAAAACATCACAAACCACTCAAGAAACCACTCAAGTAACGATAATAATAATTAATAATAAAACGTTTATAATAATAAACGTTTAAATAATAAACGTTTATAAATAATAATAAACGTTTATATATAAATAAACGTTTATATAAATAAACGTTTATATATAAATAAACGTTTAAATAATAAACGTTTATAAATAATAATAAACGTTTATATATAAATAAACGTTTTTTTTGTTTTGAAGCACTCAAACACAGCTCTCTGAGTTAAACATTTTGCGTACTTTAGAATAATACATTTGCGCATTTCAACAGGGTTTTGTTTTCCTTTTATAAAATGTCCAAATCGTGCGAATTGGAACGTTTCTTTTCAACTTTATATCTAACATGGTCGACATGCACATTTTTCGCCACTGGAATTGTGTATGATTCTTTGCCTCCACAAAGAAAAACAACTTTCATTTCTTTTTTTTTTACTTGACAGCATGTACAGGTTGTTTTGAAATCTGACCATTTTATTCTTGGTGACGAATGTGATGGACAATATCCACTACATCCTTTTGATATAACTCTTTGCAATCCACAGTTCCTTGTTCGGATTTCACCGGCTATAGGTCGAGTTGAACATGACTGATGTCCATTTGCAAGACGGTTACAGATGAATAAAGAAAAAAACAACCAACTGAAATCTCCTAATGCTCAACATTGCTTCTCTTCAAATTTTCTATATAGAAAGACAAAAATAGGTAATTGTTACTATAATTTAAAGAAGCTAGCATGAAATATATATACTTTGTACTAAAATACTTCTTTCCCCGTTGAAGTAAATATATGTGGAACGCTAACTCCTATAATTTTGTCCCGTGATTGACGGAAGCCAAAATACATCTAAAATTTGTCAAACTTCCCTTGAAATAATGCGTGATTTTTCGGCGGCCAATATTTGTTTTGCTTCTTGGCGTTAGAAAAACGTGAAAAAATGATTTGGTGTCGAGTTTTTCTCACATTTTGTGTTTTAAAATTGCATCTGACAGAATTAGTTCATGCCACAGCAAGATATTTTCGAGGAGAAACATATTCAGCAAGAATTTTTTCATATAACAACATCAAAAACACAATAACAATAAGGTTATTGATTTATCACAGTGAACCTTAAACCTTTTAATTTTAAAGCAAAAAGCCTTCGTGCAGAAAAAAGATTTCGCTACGACACAGTGTTGGGTGTTTTTAAGTTGTTTTTTTAAAATCTGACCATGTTAGTTCAGTGAAAATAACAAAGGTATATTATAAGTCTATGCGATATTTCCCGTTAATTAAGCCTAACTTAAAATATACGTCCCATGTCCTTTAATGATTGTGTACACATAACTATAAAATTTCTCAAATTGTCTAGTTACACTCAGACAAGAGTTTGCGCACCGAATTGAAGTTCAATAAGCTTTGATTATTCAATCTGGAATTTGTTGAGATTTACGTCATTTTTATGCTTCAGTCAACGCCGTAACTATGGGTATTTTTTCTGTCTAAATCATTGTCTAAACCCAAAAAGCTTGAAAAAAGTTTTAGTACAAGAAAATATTGGACTTAAATTGGACAAAATATGATAAATCGACAGTTGTTTTAAAACTCCGAAATTTGATGAAGCAACATTCCAAGTTGCGAGGCACAAACTCTAAAACAGTTTTAGTACAATTTGCATTATAGTGCCAAAGTAATCAGATCACTGGAGCCAATTAGTCTTTTAGTAAGTGGATTTTAAGGAATATATGCACGGATCATCTTTTCAGAAAGATGTGCAGTACATAGAATACCCAAGACTAATGTTTACTTGTTTTCATCTGGTCTTTTGTTTTGGTCGTGACAAAATAGTTTTAGTCATTTGATCATGTTGTTGATGGTAATTTGAGGTAATCATGAGCTCTTTAAGAAAATAAATTTCACGGCACCGTTATATAAATCTTGTTTGCATTTCCAAAGCTGAACGTTCAGTGAATTCACTTTAACTTGATAATCTGGGACAATACGGCTATTGGAAAAAACAATTGTTGATGCAATGTATTGGCAACTTGTAAATACATCACACGATACGACAAAATTTAAAATACTAGTCCAAAATCCGTAAAACCAAGATTGCTAATGTTTACATCAAAATCTTACAGAAAGGCTGAAAAGTATTACACGAAAACACACATCATCGGGGATCAGCATTCTATAAATCAACTACCTTCACAGCCATTCCAAATGTGTATGCAGAACTGGTTTCATAACTTTTATTCACTCTTTTCCTTTAAAGTATATTTAAATGAGACCACTGAATCAGACCATGCAGGAAAGCACGTGCCGCAGACGCACAGAAGTGAAACGTGCTGCGTGCATCTGCCCCATTGAGTTCTATATGACCTGGAGTGGAGGGGAAAAGGGGCCTGGACCATTGAGTTCTATAATAACTGGAGGGGCTAACTTTACTGGGGTCGGCGTTAGATCATAGGTGAGATATGCACATATACGAAACTGCGCTTAATTGCGGTCAGCAGTAACAATCCACCCAGAACTCTTTAAGATTGCGCGCTTTCACCGCGAATTTTTAAAAACAACAATGGACTCGTGCTGTTCTTCGATTAAAATGTTTTCATGGCAGAAAGACATATGGGAAAATTTTGAGGAATACAAAAAAGACACGCGCTCGGGATGGAGATGTGTGAGTTCAAATGCACTTTTCGGTAAGTATGTAATCATTGTAATGTCTACAATAATCACATAACTTCACGTCAGAATTCATACAATATATTATATTTAATCGTGCCGTCCGAGATTTCGATTGTTGCGATTATATAAAGCATGAATGAACAAATGATACACTTTTCATTGCTAATTATTATTGTTGTTTATTATCAATAATTCTGCAATTTGAGAGATTAATACTGATCAAAGGGCTCATATTTTCAAGGCAAAACCATTAAAGAGGTGATGAATTCTGGAAAGTCTTTGTCAAGGGTGCAATGGAGCCTTTCCAATCCAGATGGAATTTCATACGCCTTTGATGGAATTCCATTTATTTGTATTGGAACATTGAATTATCATTGTCATCAAGGTGAAGATATTGATAAAAGTACGAAAATAAAAGAGCAAAGGAAACAGATGAAAATGAGGTACTTACAACTCTATATCGTCACTTTTACTACACACATTTTCACAAATTTACCAGTGACAGCCCTGGTTCTTTGTTCTAACATATTTTTGTCGTTTGTTTTTTTAGGGTCACGATCACACGTTTAGAAAACGGAAAAAACATTTTCAACCTACCAAAAAAATTGGATGTCCGAGCAAAGTATATATGTCACGGATTTTAAATTCCCACAGTACAAGGTAAGATAAAATTCGGTTCATATACTTAAGTCAAACTGATGTCTAGTTTTCAACAGCAAACTTAAAATTTCTGAAGTATTAAATCCCACGTTCTTTAATGTAATATGACAATTTAGGTTGAGGTTTCCTCTGGTGCTATAAAACCACGAAGAAAAATGCAAGAAAGAACATCCTTACTGAAAACGCGTTGAAATCGTGGGAAAATCTGATTATTGAAGATACGTTTCTCTTGAAGCTTCCAAGTATGGATAGTCATAAATATCATGTGACGGAAGGAGAGGTAAAATCTTCACTAATTAAGATAAAAAAAACGGCTACATTTTTAGTAAACAAAATATACCCAAATTTCCAATAAACACAGGTAGCAGGTTTGAGAGAGCCAATAGATGCACAAGTAGTGCAAAAAAATAAAAGAAATGCAAGTCATAGGTGTCCGCAGTGTTGCCGAAGTACGTCGGCATTTGGAAAAGTTTGTAAATGGGCATTTATTCAATAGTAAAGATTTGCCAGCTGAGTCAAGCCGCCGTTATTATCCAACAGACGTCGATATAAGGAACATCTTAAATGCAACCCGATCTGGAAAACAAAGATCTCCAGATGACCAATTAAATTTGGAGACAAAATTATCTGAGTGGCATGAGTTACATCCCGAAGACTTTATCTTTTACAGGGTAATGTATCATTGTCTACCTTGCGCTAACAAAACTTGCCATATTAACTCCAGTTGTATAATTTTTACTTATTTAACAGCCATTGACGGCGGAAGATGAAAAACACGTAAAAAGCACTTTTTTTATTTGTGTATCAAGCGAAGTGGATGAAGCGCCTATTATTATTGTACGGGCAGGAGATGTGTCTCATGGATGCTACATACAGAACATGCAGGTAAAGAGATGTGATGCAAATACTATTCAAGCAGGAAAAAACTGTGAACACATTTTCCATTGTGATAGGTACGCCTTGCCACTCTTCTTTTTATGCGTCAGATCAAATGTTGGATACATTGTCGTCGCAGTTTTTATTCCAGAAAATGAAGACACTGGCTCAATATCCGAGGTACTCCGAATATTGAGCAGGGAAATCCAGTGGAACCCCAGAAACATGATGGTGGACTTCTCACTGGCAGAAATTTCCGCGATTGAAGTGTTTTCCTAGTAAGAAAGAATAGCCATATATATGACAAAACACAATCATTGGTGGACATAAGGAACTCATTCAAATAAAAACACTTACTGCCATGTTAATGAATTCGTTGTACTCATGAAAGAGCGACGTGTGATTGTGTAGTTATCTAAAATAAAATAATTTTGCACTGTCAATCATAAAATGTTACCCCCCTAGTTTTACAAATTTTTAAAAACATTTTCTTTCTAATTGTTAAGAAACGCATGTCCACGTGTGCGATTTTCACCGCGAAAAAGCCTGGGGTGAATGGTTATCTAAAAGTAGTAATGGTGTGAGTATGTATAAAGATGAAGTGTTGAGGCACTTGCGAAACATCGCCCAGAGTGAAAACCAAGCCACTCTTGATGAGAACATCCAGGCACTCAAAAAAAGCAGGCCATGGAAGGAATCAGTCCAACTACAAAACTATTTTTTTAGACTTTTGGGGTTTATACTTAGAGGTAAGACTCACAATACCAAGAAGGAACAATAAATTATGCTCCCAGGAAAACACACATGCTTATATGCCCTTCAGACGTACATTGTCTATTATGTTATAAATATAGTTATGAATGTATTTACCACCATACTTAAATTAAAGTATTTGTTGCATTATTACTGACTTTATGCTTTAGAAATGGGTTCGCTTTTTTCGAGATGAACATCTTCGTATTGCAATTTATACAAACAATGGTATCGAAAGACAAAATAACTGGCTCAAGCACTCATATCTCGAAAGTAGACGAAATAACTCGGTGTCTGATCTGGTTGACGTAATAATCAACCATTTTTTACCTGATAGTTACAAGAAGTAAGTGATGGTACAATATCCGCTCCTTGAGAATTTGTACAACTTGATTATGATCGTCTTCTTTAAAATTTTGTAAGTTTTCTCATGTACGTATGGTAATTTTACATAGATACAAAGAGCAAAACATTCGATGTACGTCATCATATCGAGGCTACGATGATCGTGTTCCAAAGTATCTCCACGACCGACCCAGAGGTGTTGTTCAACATATCATCAGTAGAATCGACTCTGGCATCCAGATTTCAAACATTAAAAAAGAGACTCCAAAGCTTTTCATCGTACAAGGAGCAGAATGCGCATACCAAGTAAGGCTTGGCTCAGACGAAGAGTTACCATCGTGTCAGTGTCTCGACTTTCGAACAAAGAAACTTCTCTGCAAGCACATATGCGCAGTTGTTCAACAGCCAGACATAGGGTGGGAATCATTGGGCAGAAAATTCGACAAGTACCCCTGTTTACTTTGGATAAAGTGATAACTCAACGGTCTTCCTCTTCCGCTACAAAACCATCGTCAAATTCAGAATACACACCTGAGCAACACATAATAGAGAAAAGGATAGTGATCAGGTAATACATGTCAGCAAATCAAATAATAGAAACCTTTCTTACCGGAGAAAGTCTAACATACGTAAGCAATGCATCCAATCATTGAAGAGTCTTCAAGATGAACTGTATGTGGTTACAGATAGGAACGTTCTGAGTAAAGCCCTGGTTATGCTTGACGAAATAATTGCGTACACAAGGAAGAATCATCCTAATGAAGAGGGTGTATCGTTGAAAGACAAGTCTTTGTCACCTAAAAAAAAACAGGTGATAAAAAAACACAGGCTCCAAAAGCAGACAAAAACTCGCCAGTTAAAGCAGAGAGCGAAAAAAAAAATTAGTAAAAGAGTTGGTGCAGTTGCTGAAGCTAGGAGCAAAACAATTCTAATAGATGATGATGGTGGAATAAAAGAGGAAAGAAAGAGGAATATACACAGTGAGTTATCACATGGAAAAAAAGTAAAAAAACAAAGAAGGGATTTTTCAGAAGAAACAATCAATCCTCATGACTGCTGGGTAAAGATCAACGGCATTGGATTGACGTATCGGCAAAAGAAATATTGGCGAGTAATTGCGGATGGCTAACTGACGACCATGTTGATGCTGCACAACATCTCATCAAAAACATGGAAACAAATGTTGGTGGCCTTAATTCCATTGTGACAATGACTTACTCCAGTAGATTCGCGCTCCCCCATGAGCAAAATCAAACCATTCAATGCCATAATACTGGTTTACACTGGGTCACGTCAAGCTCCATCACAGGAAAAGTCATTGTCTATGAAAGTCTAAACACCAGCTTGAATGCTTCTTTGAGACGGCAAATCATTAATTTGTACAAAGGACTTTGTCTTGACGATGGCTCACTTGACGTTACGGTGGTACTTCAACAGCGTCAGAAGGGAGGATCTGACTGTGGCCTATTTAGCATAGCAAATGCAGTCGCACTTGCTCAGGGGATAGACCCTTGCAAGATTTCGTGGTTACAGCAAGATATGCGTACCCATTTGATGAAATGTTTCAAGCAAAAGAAATTGGAAATGTTTCCACATCGTGTGAATTCTGCAGTTTGTACACTAAGTCATTACGTCATCAGTGTATACTGTGTTTGTTTTCGCATATCCCTGGAGCTGAAATGGTTTACTGCAATAACTGTAAGAATTGGTATCATCATCAACCTCCTTACAATTGCATCAAACTTTCTGTAAAGCAAAGTACAGCATTAGTAACAGATAAACCATTCTTATGTTCATATTGTGAAGTATCTTGCTAAATTTTCTAAAGAGGAGCTCTTCCTTTTCTTTCTGAATTGTTTCACAACAGTTTATTAAATCTTAAGAATTACAAATTTTTATAAGTAATGCAGTATGTGACTATCTGTAAATTTCATTAAGATCCCTGTTCAAGGAGATGCTTAGCTGTGTAAATATTGTGCACATATAAAATAATTTGACAAGTTCAGCTCTTTCTTCTAATATATGTATGGAACAAGTTAAATAATCATGTAGGTTAGTAACTATTAAAGAACATTTTTTAACACATATTAGCAAAATGACATCATAAACAGTAACATCTCATAAGAAATCGTGCATCTAAGTTTCCCAGATTCCTGACTTTAGACATATCTTTGAACTGCAAAGGTGTAATAGGCTGTGTAGCCAAATACATGAACAAATTGAAAACAGTTTGCGGGATTAGGTGAAAACTAAGGTGTTTGCAATTTGCAATATATACCATACAGTTCATCAAGATTACAATCTTTTTCACTATGGACAACTTGTTAGTTTGATAACTAGTGTTTATGCAAAAATAACTCAAATTTCTGTTTTTTTATTACCATCTGTTGCACAGAAGGGTTAATGATTAATGATGTACTGCTCCTTTGAAAATATTAATATATATTAATATAAATATCATAATCTCATGTATATTGGTGTCATACAATTAATATAAACGTCATAACTTCATAAGGAATTTCCTAACAAATTTGTAATTTTAAAAATTAACAAATTATATAACCTGTTAGAGCTAAACCATTGTTGTTTGGTTTATGTAATATCATGATTCTTACATGCCAGTTTATACTTTTGGAAAACCTCTTAAAACTTTATATCAAATGATCATAGCAAGCCTCTTGTAAACAATCCAAAATTAATGAACAGAGGAAGTTAAGAAGTTTGATGCATAATTTAGAAAAACATGGCACTAGAATAACTAAAATTTAATATAACAAACATTTTGAAATCAGCAAATCGTGAGAATAATGATTGCAATGAAAAATGTTTCATTGCAAAATAAGGTTTATTTCCATATGTGGGTTGAAATTATCTCGATTCCCAATGTTATTCAACCATACTTTTGTCTTTCAGATAGATGTTATTGTAAACAAGATAAAATTTCGTAAACCAACCTTGTAGTTCAAGAACAATCTTTGAATTCGATCATGGTTTAAATTTGTGTTGCGACATATATATATATGTACGAGAAAACCAATAAATATAATACAATATACAAAACGGTACAAAAAACCGAATAATCCACGGACGCATAACGCTTATTCGCGATTTACATGGAAAGAGTCACTGTGGAATACCGCAGACCGCAATTAAGCGCAGTTTCGTATATGTGCATATCTCACCTATGATCTAACGCCGACCAGAGCCCAGGGTTGCCAGTTTGGCCTTTTATCGGCCAAATAACTGAAATTTGGCCTTTTTGAAACCTTTTTGGCCGGGAAAAATAAAGCTAGCCGGCCAAATCGATTTTGGCCTATTTTGGCCTTTTCAAATTTTGATGTCATGAAATTTTATTATTAATTATATTACTCGTAATTGACTGAGAATGACGTATCAGATGAGTACTGTTGTGGTTGTACCCAGTTCTTATGCTCTTCCTCGGCCTGATTTGTTATTCAATATTCAGCTCTGTTGCATTTTCACATGAAAATATGTTTAATTGTGTTGCATGATACACTCATAGTTTTCTAATTAATGTTTAATGTCATTCTTGCGCAAAATAACTTGTTTCCTATTTCACGAAACACGCCAGAATAAAGCAAGAGTTAAGAATTCATATCAGCCTTTTCGCGTTATATTCTTTCGCGGACCGTTGGGCTTTAGGGGAAATTTTAGCTCAAATACAACCCAAATTTTCCCAGCAATTAATATCATAACTTTAATTAACAGAAAATTTGCATCTCTACTCTAGGGCAGCTCTTGGTTCTTCTCTTCACAAAGTTCTTACACTTCTGTCTCTAATATGTGTTTCCTTCTTATTATCGTAATTCTCAATCGGTAGTTCTGCTGTTCAATAGTTCAATGTTCGATGCTAGTTAATGGGGTATCACGTGCTAATTCACGTGCAGTATTCGTGAAACATATCAATATATCATATTTCAAGAACCATCAAGCCGTTACAAACCGAGCAGGGCGGGGCGGGGCGGGCGGGGCGCCGGGGGCGGGCGGCGGCGCCCTCCGCGGGGCGGAGTTGGGCGTCAGTGGTGTTGACGGCCGTTTCAAGCCGTTAAGAGCGACGCAATTTTCTTCATCTTTCGACGACATAGCTCTTTTTAAATCTTCTAATTGAAGACGAAGAGAAGCTGACTTCATCATCTCTTTTTCCAAATGTTGTTGTAACGATCTACAGGAAAGATGACCGAAGGAAAAATCAGGGCAAAATAGTGTATATTCGAATGGAATGTTAATATTAAACGAAGGACGATAATACAACCTGTTACGTTCTTCAACTTCATCTTTTCTTAACATCATCGATACAATCGCCTGTTTTAATTCCTCTTCAACAATAAAAAATCACGTATTTATTGATATTCATGAAATTATAATTATTCACACTTACAATGATTCAGTTCACATGATGAAATTTGACCGATGCCTCCAAACAAGCAAAGCAACTACGATACAAATAGTAAAATCCAATTGCACTAAATATTTCTATATTTAAAACTAACTCTACCTGCTAATAGCCCATTTATAGTTTGAGAACCTGAGGCAAAGTGCCTCTCCCGTTCTAAAACATTTTTCCAAAAGATATAAGAAATAAAAACATTTAAATACGTGAATAGAAAAAACACACAAACCTGAAGTCATTTCTTTGCCTGATGGATATTCCTCTGATGGCTAAAGAACGAAAACATACCAAATATAACGAACTAAATATAACAAAGATATTTACAGATGGCTTTCTACCCTACCCTCCCTAAAAAAGATAAAAGCATTTCATAATTAACTAACATTCATACAACCATCACCCATGGTTCTGACCAATGAAGATCCTGAGTAATCATTAATTTCTATGCTACCATCACGTGTGGCACATATCGCTGCAACAGTTGCCTCTATTGCTAAACTTGCATCATTCTCGACGTCTTCATCAGTGTAAATACTGAAAACAACATAAATTACCACCTCAGTTAAAATGGTCAACTCGTTAGAAATTCTTGTCGATAAAATAATGAAGTATCTTCTAAATGTCGCGACGTCTCAGGTGCAACAGTAAATCGCTCATTTTCATCTGACATAGCTAGACCCTAACTCCTTTATCGTCATCGGGGCAAACAACGGGAATTAGAGATACACCGCTGTTCATATCAACAAGGGCTCAAACACTTCCTCCGACAAGAGCGATGAGTCAGTGTAACGCCCTGATTGCAAAGATGTTGTCAAAGAATGATTTTTCAAATCATTCGCAGTTTTAAACTCGTCTTTAAGATGCAGAACTTCCTGGCTTTTCTTTGTTAATCGAGCCACTTGTTCATCTGTTTCATTCTCCTTGTTCTCAACGTTGGATTTCGCCATTGTGGAAGAAAGACTTGAATTCTCAGAATTTGAACAATAAGCCAACTGAGAGTTCTTTGGCACTTCAAGAAAATCGTCAGGCCTTTTAGTAAAAGCATGGTTACCACGAGCATGTACCTGAGAATCAGTATTACGTTGTAATATATCGTATGCCGCTCGGGTAAAACTCGTGGAACTATCGTGAGCAGTCGTATTCGTGGAAGAACTACCATGAGAACTGACAGTACAAGTTCCTTCTTCCGTCTCTGTGAATTCAACATTTTCAATTTGCGCAATGTTTGCTTTCTTTTTTTTACGTTTTGTCTTTTCTTTTCCTGAAACACAAAAGAAAGATAACAGTTACAACTTAATAAAGACGCGTGGGGATAAATGACTACGCATTGTTGAAGTATGATAAAGAATAAATGAGGATGCGCGGTTAAGGGATGATAAGGGATGAATAAAAAACAGGTATAGTTAAGGGATAAATGAAGACATGTAATAATGGGATAATAAAGGTTAAGGAGAACACATGGTTGGGGGATTACAAGGAATAAATGACATGTGTGGTTAAGGAATGATAAGATTAGCGATATATGAGATGAATGGTAGGGATAGTTAGGGATAAAAGCGATTATAGATTCATTTTGACTCTGAAGATGACTTCATATAGCACGTTTTAAGGGCATTATTTATACGTTGTATATTCAATCGGTTTCATAAATATGTATTTCCTAGGTGAAAGTGTGTCAAAAAGCGCTCAAATACTGGCATTTTGTCAATTCTATTATCTGAATCAGTAATAATCTCAAGGATGTCTGTTCCATCTTGCTTTTTGCAGTTTCCATTTCTACCTTCAATGCTGCTTCGTAAAAGTAATCTTATATAGGCAGCTGTGAACTGTTGGGCTGTTGGGTTATTGTTAAATCCTCCTGCTGATCGAATTGCCCCAAAAAATAGCTCTAAGTGATCTTGGCTGAACTTGTATGTTAGTATGTATTTCATTGGTGCATTTTTTCTTTCAACCAGGTCAGAGAAAATTTGCTTGATGTTTGTTATTGCCACCAAAGTCCCACAAATCCTGTCTTTCGGCGAGTGTTGTACAGCAGATTACCAGATACATCTCAGATTTATAATGTAGTTATAAGCTTCTGCTAAAAATGCCTCCCAAGTTTCTTTGTTGCTTTTCGAAGAGCAGCCTTATAACCTTTGGCACATGGGTTTCGAGAGTTAAGAATGTCGAACAGATGATCTATGATGCGAATAAAGTAGACAGTGGCTTCCGATCCTTGAAATTGTGGAAGTTTAAGAGTGTTTGTGCAGTATTCTATTGCATCAGAAACACTGGAACTTAGTGTTTGGGCAGCCAAATTTACTTTCATTTTCTGCTGCCACCATTTTATATGTGCCTCCTTCAACTTGTTTCCAAGTCTCAAGCCTTCGTTATCTTGGAGCTTTGTAATTCTGTAATATACTCCCAACATATTTTTGACCATCACCATCAACTAATATTTTGCCATCTCCCAGGGTGTTCCTAACGAGCTTGATCATGTGGCAAATATCGAGGAACACATAAACTCTCCTGTTTTATCTGAAGGATGGATGAAATATGGATGTAGTTGAGGTGGTGTCATACTTGCTCCAAGAGCTCGTAACATAGCGAAATGGCAGGATGGCCCATCACATACAAAGAAATCACATCAACACCGATATCGTGAAGTTTCTTGATGCACAGCTCAACCAAATTTGCGCGCTCTTCACCGCTCTGTCCATCGATAAAGAAGTAGGCTACTGGAACTTTCCACGTTTGTTTCAAGCAAACTACCATAAAAACTAGAGCGTCCTTTGCAACGGGAGAAGAATCATCAGCTTCATCGTCGTTTCCGAGATCAACATAGCCACGAAATTTCTTGCCATCCCATGATACATGTTTTTTAATAGCCATTTCATCGATCATTAAGGAACACTCTAACTTCTCTTGATTTCTTACTTTCAAGGCAAGTGCTTCAAATGATGGCTGTGTAAATCCTGCTTCAGTAGGGACCTTCGTATACCATTTACGAATTTGTGTTGGATGAGGTAAAGCTAAATTGAATGTTTTGCCCACAAAATCGTAAGCTTTCGACGAATAAAACTGAAGAGTTAATGCAAATGACTTAAGTTCTGGTGAGTACTTGCATCCTTGGTGTGTCTTTGACATCATTTTTTTGTACAGCTCTGTTGGAAGACCAGCTATATTTCTTTCGAGCATTTCTTCGCAAGACGAGGAAATCAGATTCTTTTCTTTTAGCTGCTTTATAACTGACGTCAGTGAGGTAACTTTTTTGTTAAGGCGTCTTGCTTTCTGTTGGGTAGACTTAAGTTTCTTTTTAAGTTTTGAAACCTTTTGCTGATGAATATTCTTCATTTCTTCTATTTCATGGTCGTCAAGCATTGTCTTCTTCTCAGGAGGATCGTCGTCATCGTCACTCTCGACAGTGGTAATTAGCGCTCGCTTTCTTGTCGTGGTGGTCTAACAGATTTAAATGTTTTCTGAATACGTTGGTGAAATTTTTTGATCTTGCAGACAGTCAAACTGATCTTAATTGGTTTTATCATGTTGATGTACGATGCATGCATATCGTGTAGCAGGCAGAACTAATTTTAGCTACAGTGTGCAACTCAGTGTGAACAATTACATGTATATAGTTATGCAACTTTTATATAATCATTTTTTTCCAAACTTTGTTCCTATAAACTATTATACTAAATATTTCTTTAGTTGTTGTTCACCTTTTTCATATGTTGTGGAAAGAGTTTAAAACGAGTTGGAACAGCATCTCTTTGTAACTTAACAACTTTTCCAGATCTGTCAAAACAGCTTTCCAGAAAGTGATCTGAACACAGCCTGCTCGTCGAAATATCAAAGCTAATAGAAATATCAAAGCTAATAGCATATAGTTCAAAAAAGGATTATCGATCTTAAAGGATTATCTAAAAAATGCCAGACAATCGTGGCACTCAATGCTGCGCATACGGCTGTACAAAACGCAAGAAAAAAGTGAATGAGGAAGACGATGAGCTCAATCGGAGCAGTAGCGAAGGGCCATCTGACGACGAAACCTCCATTAAAAGACAGTTTCCACGGACGTTTCATCGGTAAGCTCTTTAACGTTCACAAGAATAGCACTGACAAAGTTAATTTTTGGGAGGGCAATTACTTAATTATCTTTCTGATCTTAATTACCTTATATGCACACAAATTTACATAGAATAATTGTAATGAGGGAGGGAGGTGTCCCCACACCTCCCTACAACGGTGTTTATGCATGTAGTGCACTTTTTTCTACATTTGTACTTGATAAACGGTAAAAATAGCCACGATTTTTTTACTTTTGACAAGATTCCCTGCTGATCTTGAAAGAAGAAAGGTATGGATTAAAAATATACACAGAGAACGTTGGACACCTAGCTCGACGAGCAGGCTGTGTTCAGATCACTTTCTGGAAAGCTGTTTTGACAGATCTGGAAAAGTTGTTAAGTTACAAAGAGATGCTGTTCCAACTCGTTTTAAACTCTTTCCACAACATATGAAAAAGGTGAACAACAACTAAAGAAATATTTAGTATAATAGTTTATAGGAACAAAGTTTGGAAAAAAATGATTATATAAAAGTTGCATAACTATATACATGTAATTGTTCACACTGAGTTGCACACTGTAGCTAAAATTAGTTCTGCCTGCTACACGATATGCATGCATCGTACATCAACATGATAAAACCAATTAAGATCAGTTTGACTGTCTGCAAGATCAAAAATTTCACCAACGTATTCAGAAAACATTTAAATCTGTTAGACCACCACGACAAGAAAGCGAGCGCTAATTACCACTGTCGAGAGTGACGATGACGACGATCCTCCTGAGAAGAAGACAATGCTTGACGACCATGAAATAGAAGAAATGAAGAATATTCATCAGCAAAAGGTTTCAAAACTTAAAAGAAACTTAAGTCTACCCAACAGAAAGCAAGACGCCTTAACAAAAGTTACCTCACTGACGTCCGTTATAAAGCAGCTAAAGAAAAGAATCTGATTTCCTCGTCTTGCGAAGAAATGCTCGAAAGAAATATAGCTGGTCTTCCAACAGAGCTGTACAAAAATGATGTCAAAGAACACCAAGGATGCAAGTACTCACCAGAACTTAAGTCATTTGCATTAACTCTTCAGTTTTATTCGTCGAAAGCTTACGATTTTGTGCGCAAAACATTCAATTTAGCTTTACCTCATCCAACACAAATTCGTAAATGGTATACGAAGGTCCCTGCTGAAGCAGGATTTACAAGCCATCATTTGAAGCACTTGCCTTGAAAGTAAGAAATCAAGAGAAGTTAGAGTGTTCCTTAATGATCGATGAAATGGCTATTAAAAAACATGTATCATGGGATGGCAAGAAATTTCGTGGCTATGTTGATCTCGGAAACGACGATGAAGCTGATGATTCTTCTCCCGTTGCAAAGGACGCTCTAGTTTTATGGTAGTTTGCTTGAAACAAACGTGGAAAGTTCCAGTAGCCTACTTCTTTATCGATGGACAGAGCGGTGAAGAGCGCGCAAATTTGGTTGAGCTGTGCATCAAGAAACTTCACCATATCGGTGTTGATGTGATTTCTTTTGTATGTGATGGGCCATCCTGCCATTTCGCTATGTTACGAGCTCTTGGAGCAAGTATGACACCACCTCAACTACATCCATATTTCATCCATCCTTCAGATAAAAACAGGAGAGTTTATGTGTTCCTCGATATTTGCCACATGATCAAGCTCGTTAGGACACGCTGGGAGATGGCAAAATATTAGTTGATGGTGAAAAATATGTTGGGATATTACAGAATTACAAAGCTCCAAGATAACGAAGGCTTGAGACTTGGAAACAAGTTGAAGGAGGCACATATAAAATGGTGGCAGCAGAAAATGAAAGTAAATTTGGCTGCCCAAACACTAAGTTCCAGTGTTTCTGATGCAATAGAATACTGCACAAACACTCTTAAACTTCCACAATTTCAAGGATCGGAAGCCACTGTCTACTTTATTCGCATCATAGATCATCTGTTCGACATTCTTAACTCTCGAAACCCATGTGCCAAAGGTTATAAGGCTGCTCTTGAAAAAGCAACAAAGAAACTTGGGAGGCATTTTTAGCAGAAGCTTATAACTACATTATAAATCTGCGAGATGTATCTGGTAATCTGCTGTACAACGAAAGACAGGATTTGTGGGACTTTGGTGGCAATAACAAACATCAAGCAAATTTTCTCTGACCTGGTTGAAAGAAAAAATGCACCAATGAAATACATACTAACATACAAGTTCAGCCAAGATCACTTAGAGCTATTTTTGGGGCAATTCGATCAGCAGGAGGATTTAACAATAACCCAACAGCCCAACAGTTCACAGCTGCCTATAAAAGATTACTTTTCTGAAGCAGCATTGAAGGTAGAAATGGAAACTGCAAAAGCAAGATGGAACAGACATCCTTGAGATTATTACTGATTCAGATAATAGAATTGACAAAATGATAAATATAAATGATGTTGCACTCATTAGGAAATATGATCTGGAAAAAGTGTTTCTGAGTCAACAAGAAGAAAATTTCTCTAATGTGCCCAACATTCCTGTTGTCTCAGAATTTAAGACAGCTGCTATATCATATATAGCAGGCTTTGTTGTGAAGATGATTACAAGAAAATTACCTGTTCTATTTGCTGTGGTGCACTTGGTTCAAGTCAACAATCTGCAGAATCTGATTTCCTGTCCTTGAAAGACAAAGGTGGTTTGATAAAACCAACAAAAGTGTCATTGACATATGTATTGAAACTGAAAATATTTTCAGCAATGCTGTCTTCAACAGATGGGCATCTACCACAAAGCAGAGGCTCTACCTAATGCTATCGCATACTTCGGTCTTAAGTAGCACAAATATGGCAACTTCTTTTGAGGAACTAAATGAACACATGTTTGATACAACTGTCACTGACAACCATACTCACAAACTCATTAAAGCCATCTCAACATGTTATAGCAAGATCCGATTTTACCACTTAAGGAAGTGTTATACAGAGAAGTTGTACAATAACAAAGTCAGGAAGAAACTAAGTAAGTTGGTATTATTTAAACATCAATGACATTTAAACTATCAATTTTGTATATACATAATTAGATGTATTTAACTGGTTTAAAGAAATACTCAATACATCTAATAGCTACATATTTAACGCAAAGTATAATGTAATTTTGACGGTATAATCAAACAGAATAATATATTGAAAAAGATTTCATACCGCTCATCGTTATGCTTGTTGTACATCAATCAGCACAATACATCCATAGATCGAGTATGATATCGCTGTATTTGCCACACGAACTAAGCCACACTATCGCAGATTGTGCTGTGATATGATATTTAGATGTGGAAATTCCAGTACCTTAAGCCTTCGTCGCTGCTGATGCTTTCAAATCGAGCTACACTTGAAATGAATTTTACGGCGATGTATTGGCGTATTCTGTTATCGTTTTCTTCAAAAACTATGGTCACATTGATTTTTTTCATTAATAGTGCAAAAAAGTTGATGCAACCTTCGCGATTTGCTAATAATTGCGAGATATTCACTTGGACCACATATTTTCTAATACAACGCCATATTGATTCTCACTACTTTGGGGCTCCGGAAGTAAATTTGCCCGCTTCAACTTTTATGTCAGTTGCACTATCTAGTGTATTATTAGATCTGTGATGGTAACTCTTAGAATTTCAAATCAAAGATGATCGCGTGCTCGCATTGTTCGAAAAGTTGCTCTTCAAAAACATTATAATTTTGTATCTCTAAGGAGAAAGTTATTTTGTTAGTATTTCGGACCTTTCCTTTGTTATTCCGATAATAATCAGAGTGAAAATAATGGGGAATAGTCGAAATAGAAAGAGAAAAGCTGTTAGAACTCCGCCATCAAAATGGCAAAGAAGTTAAAACATGGCGGAAACGATGACGCAAACCCTGGACCTTCTGGAAAGAAAATAAATCATCAAACAAGGAGCATGGCGAAATTTTAATAATATACACACTGCAAAAGAAGGCACCGTGTTTATGGACTTGTCTTTGCTGGTTTGTTTTCATGAAATTTTAAAAGCCCTGATTGCGAAAGCAGTGTTTTGACTTGAGGAAAGGAAAGGCTATGCACATTATATTGTTCTTCAATGTAAGAATAAAGAATGTGAGTGGAAGTATAGTTTCAACACATTTAACAGTTGTTGAACAACTCAATGACAACATGCTCAGCAATGCTATGCATAAAGAGGAGAATGGAGCACCAGAATGTGGAATATCTTTGGATGGTACATGGCAAAAGAGGGGCATGATATAGGAAAGATGCCGAAGACCACATATGTTGAACAAGACACTGTTGCTCTTGCTACATACTTGGCTATACTTAAATTTAATGATAAAACAACTCCTGGAATGTTTCCAAGTAAAGGGGCTCAAGATTGTGATCATCATCGGATAAAGTTGTCGGCAAAGAAGAGCTCAGAGAAGGTGAAGAAGCAAAAAACATTAAGAAACATTAGAAAGAATTATATTAACAATGCTAAACATAAGGAAGGAGTTACTTATGAAACTGGCAATTTTAGGGCTTCAAGAGGTATAATATAGGTTATGTAAACTTTAAATGCTGTTTTCTCATTTTAGGTGATTTTAGCACTTAGGAAAACTTTGTGACATCATATTATCTTTGTTATTTGTCAGAGATGCCTGAAATTTTGTATATTGAAGGCTAGTAATATTATCTAGTGCTTGACATTTTCAAATTTTGAAATTTTGCATTGTTGATGAAATATTTACTGTTATGTCATAAAATATGTACCAAAAATGCAAAATTACTCAAGAAAATCAAATTTTGGAATATATTTTTGTTTATAAAGAATTAATAAAAAATTGAAAAGTGTCAAGCACTAGATTATGTTCTAAGCTTTTAAAAAAACTTTACTCATTGAATTTGGATCATTGGTTCCCAAGGTATCATGTTCACAGCGAAGTTAATTTATTGGCTAATTAGTGGCCGCCATGTTGGATAATTAGTGTAATTAGCGATTTTCTAATTTTTTTTTCCATTAGTTAATTCTCTTCATTAAAGTCTTTCAAATACTGATATTTTCTTATAATTATCTTTAAAAATGAAAAAAATTCAATTTTTTGTATATGACCACCGTACGTCCACACAACATCTGCGCTATGACAAATCTCATGCCAATTGGAAAGATGAAACGATCGGATGTTGAGCAAGGACAGCCACAAAAAAGCCCAAAATAATAGTATCTAATTTTCAGGCTACCTGACAAACATCACCGCTTTTATGTCGACGACGGCAAGCACAGAAACAAGATTGGCCATTTCTTGCAACTGTGCATGTCGTCTACGGCATTAAATCGGAAATATCGACAGCCAGTCGGAAAATTAGGATTTTTAGGTTTTTTATTTTCATGTTAAAGAAATTCCATGTTTTATTACAAAATTTTCAATTAAATAATGTTGAAATTTGGGCATTTGATAGGCGTGGTTTTCTCCATCATTGCGATTGATTGCCAGTCGTGATGTTAGCAGGAAAACTCCCAGGAAAATGTTTTAGAAAAGGTCATAATATTGACTTTTCCATGGAAACAGGCGTTAGGCTGATGGATGCATTGCTCCAGAAGAGTGTTTAGCGTTTGCATTCTTTGTAGAGATGGTCTTTAGGGCATTAGAAGTCACGTATTTTTCAATTTCATCAAAGTATATTGTTCATTCTTGATCATTATTCAGAAGATTCTCATTAAAGTATATTGTTCATCTTGATCATTCTTCAGAGGACTCGTTAAAGTACGCTGTTCATTCTTGATCATTGTTCAGAGGATTTCATTAAAGTACGTATATTGTCCATTCTTGATCAGAAGGTTTCTACAAAGGATAATTAAAGCCAATGTCAGTTCACACTATACTTCCATAAATGAAAAACATTGATAACATACTTTCATTGAACATTTTATTTACTCGTAATGTAGTTCAAGGGAAGAAGGAACTGGTCGACAACAGCCACAATTCTCTTCAACCGCTGTGAACAACAACCAGTTTCTGTAATTGTAGAGTCCACGATCATGGTAAATACACCAACATTTGTTTGTTGTTTCTCAATCTCATTTGATGACTAATTGTCGCTTAAGAGAAGAATGTCCATGTCTAAAATCAAGCATAGAGGAAACAAAAGTTACTAAGACGAAAACTTTATGGAAAGGCCACACTGCACTTTGCATTAATGAACATCACATGTAGTGTCCCAATTCAATGTTTACTCAATGCAAAAGAACATGAAACAAGACATTTACCTGAACATTTTTCAAAGCACTCCAGAGATATTTCACCTTGGAATAATTTCGACTTCGGCTAACTGTTCTGCTGTTCTTCGTGCAACTACAGACTTTCACGCACAAATGGCACGTTCTTAGTCTTAGACTATGGCCCAAGTTTCACGAACGTGTTGTATTCTGATTGGTCAGTGACTAGGCGTGTTGAAAACGTGTTGTGTTCTGATTGGTCATTGACCAGGTATGACGTCAATTGTACATTGTGAAATTTAGAATTTGCATGATTCATCACTTAGAAGTAATTAATCCCCATAGAGCGGTAAATGCAATTTAATACAATATAAATAAAAACGTATACTTCAGCTACAGCAAATAGCAAATTCCAAACATTTAAGTCTCCTTGGGAACAACTTCAGCTGAATCATGCAAATTCTAAAGGTCCACTGATGTCAAAATGATTTGATAAACCATCTAGATTATCTTCATCTCATTTTCTTATTGTATTTGTTAGCATTAACATTTGATCTCTTTTATTTAGCATTCTACAGGGTGTACATAAAAACGACGTTTGGCAATTAAACTACTGTAAAATTTCGAAACCCAATCACTGTGCTAACCTCACTAGTGCATTACATTTTCAATGGAGGAAAATCTTTTGTGCTTGCATAAACGTAGCTAACAATGTTCCATGCACCTGTGGGCTTGGCGTAGTGACAGACATTGAAATTATATAAAGGTCTTCAATGGTAAATGAAGGCTGACCAACTAGTTTTGCACACATCAAAGGAATGAACAGGATAGAAAAATATTATTGCAATGTATTTTTTTAATTTTTTCATTCTACTTTCAGCCGGTATTATTTGTTGTCCCTTTTAAAGAATTTTCAATCTCCATGCGACAATGTGAAAGTGTGTAAAATGAAAGACTATAGTCTTTGGTGTGAAAGTGTGTGAAAGTGTGTGAAAATGCAAAGACTATAGTTTTTGATGTGAAAGTGTATAAAAATGCAAAGAGTATAGTCTGGCATGAAAGTTTGTAAAACTATAGTCTTTGGCATGAAAGTTTGTAAAAGTATAGTCTTTGACATGAAAGTTTGTAAAACTATAGTCTTTGGCATGAAATTGTGTAAAACTGCCTGAAATATAGTCTTTGGCATGAAAATGTGTAAAAAATGCAAAGACTATAGTAGACGGCAATGTATGCAGTTGATTACTTTCATGAACTTACCTTTAGTTTTAGGGACTATTTATATGAGCCCGATAGCCGTGATTCAGCGAACGAACATGTAACATGTAACATGTTCTTACACAAACTTTCGGCAGTTATTTCAGTAAACAGTAAAGATACAAACGATGGACATAAAAGCAGCTAATATTGGAGGCAACAATTCGCCAAGAGAAACCCGACCTTGTGCAACGAAAATTTCCGCAATGCCATTCTGTAACGGTCGTCATTTCGTTAACGTCTTTTCTGACTTCTTGAACGACTTTTTCAAAGAGCTTAGCAAAAAATAATCATGTATTTAACGTAAAGATAGTTGAATTTGCAGATATTATATCGTATATAAACCACTATATATAACAAATCACTATTATGACCGTTATATCGTTTAGAGATATAACGCATATCTGCATTCATAGATGTGTAGCCGACATATAGCTCTTTCGTCGATAGTTATAAATACATCCTCGTAGGAGCCGATAACTGGAAAGCTAGATTGACTCGCTGTTACGAATTGTAGGTTTTTATCGTGATTTTCATCAAAAAATTGCTTGACGAATCCCAAATACACACATACATTTTCTTCACTCTTTCCTCAGGAGGGAGTGGGAAATTGTGAAATTTTCCGAAAAGCGGTCAATTTCGGTAAATCTCAGCGGCAGCGGACGAAATCCGCCATTTTTTTGGCGTCATCAGATATCAGAGGCCGCGCTTGAGATAGCCGCTCCAGTTATCATAGAACCAGTGAACTCCATATATATATATCTGGAATGATAACGACAATACATTTTATAGATATAAAATTGAAGCCAAAGTCCTAGTCTCTTGCGCGGTTTGTACGTCAGTTCCAGTCCCTTCAAAGTCGAATATTCACGCGGTTTGTACGTCAGTTTCATTCCCTGAGTGCCAAACATACGGCAATATAAATTGAATACAAAATTGCATAAGCATAAACATATAAACATCACGACAAACAACACAGAGGACAACTCTTCTAAAAGTTATTTTTACAGCTGAAACTTTACTACAGTGAGTTCGTTGTAACTTACAACTTGTAACGAGGAAAAGCCAACTGAAAATTACACTGTATGCTAAAAAACAATACAATA